GGAAATAGTAGTTAAAGGTACAAAAAGTAACAGTTGTATTTATTGGAATTTCCAATAGAATTTCTAACTTGGAAATCTACCGGCGTTAAAATATCAAATTTTTCTGTGTAAATCAAAATGTATCCCTTAAAAATAGACTAACAATCATTATAGAAGCAGGTTTTCACAGAAAAAGAGAAGAGAATGTTTTAGGGGCACGGTACGCAAAATACTTTTGTATTTTTGAATTGAGATAAAATAATTTTCACATTTAATATTATTTTAATGATTGTATGACATTTGACAACTGTCAACTAACTTAAAGCTAACTTCAGCCATTGACTAAAAACCTGTTGGTTTGGTTACTTTATTTTTGTATAGATGTCTTTCTATCAAATTTAAATTCGGGATTAAAATTGATATTATGCGTTAAACCATAATATAAAAAAACTTGGATCATTCAGTCACGTTAAATTTCGTTAAAACGCATTTAACATTTTAAATATATTCTGACCTATTAATACATATAATATTATCTTTTGAGGCAACTAAGTGTTGATGTTGATAGTAAATGTAAATATTTTGATGTTTCGGTTAAAATAGCTCTTTCCTTGGAATTTTTGCTGAATAGCTTTTTCGTAAACACACACACAAAATCGAAGCGATCTTTAACGCTATTCGACCAATAGGAACAAGCGTAGGGGGACCAAAGTGCGTATTGAATTAAAATCCTTGCTTTTACGATTTTGAGGGACAAAAAACAATTTAAGATAAAAACAGAGTCAGGTCGTAAATATTTAATTCACACTTTATTTTCTGTCAGGTATTAAACGTAATAGAAAGTCCAATATGGGAAAAGAAACACATAAATTAAAATATTCCGTATAAATCAACATGGTGACGCAAGAGCGCGTACGCGCACGTGATTGGTCATAGGAAGAAACAAATTAGTTGGCCTAGTGTAGCCATAAATATCAGACGATGACTATCATATTTAAATAATTATTCTTGAGGAAAAACAAATTTGGACACTGGTCGTATATTCGTAAATAGAGACCGGATTATATGCAAATTCATATGGCATGGGCATTTTCCTTTTTTATATAATGTCTTTAAAATTTAATTTATGATTTAGTGAGGCATCAGACACATTCAAAAATAATTTTAGATTTTTCTACAGCACAGACTACAAGAAAATTATTTTTTTAGATACTACTAAAACCGACCTAACTAATCTAGCATGTGCCAATACTATTAAATATTATTGCCAATGATTAAATATTGAAAATGTTTTGTTCATTGATTCCTATTTAACCGTGATTGCTATTCAAATTTATAATGTAAAATAATATTATTTTTCTTTTATTTACAAAAAAGCGTTTTATTTTTTATCTTAAAAATTTTCAATGCATACAACAAAAAAGATCCGAGGCCTATATGAATTAGAGGCCCCGTTGAGCCGGGGCCCTAAGCAACTGCTTATTTTGCTTATATATAGTAAATCCGGCCCTGACCTTAACTGATAACCTATTGATGGGGCTATTTTTACAGAAGGGCCCCCAAATCTTAAGTAGTCTTTCACAGTCCAACAAAAAAACTATCTAAAATTTTCGGAAAAATGGAGCCGGCTGAAAAAAACAATTTTTTTTTCGAAAAAAATTCGGAAATTTTTAGAAAAATTAACTTGCATTTTTCTTATTTTATTCAAATACGAAAAAATGCAAAAGTCAATTTTTCTAAAAATTTACAAATTTTTACAGATATGTAGGTACTATCCGTACACTGATACCGAGAAAAAAGTACATTCAATTTAATTCAATGTTTAGTTTAATTTTTTTTTAATTAAATTAATGTTAAGTTGTTGATTGCTACTTTTTTCAAATGTATATACATTTATATATATATATATATATTTTTTAAAAAGAAATTCAATTTTTCCCAAAAAAAACATTTTTTAAGGCCTGGGTTTTTTCCTAATTTTTTCGTTTTTTTTTTTACACTGGTATAGGTATCTATAAATATTTCAGGACCCAGCTTTACCATAAAATATAAACTGATTAAAAAAAATAACCCGGAGATTTCAAGTAGTGATGGGCGTTCCGGGTCACTCTTTTGAACCGGATCACTGGATCTGGATCATATAAGTGAACCGGTTCAGCGAACCGGTTCAAAAGAACCGTTTAAATCTCAGATTAATTAAAAATAACATTCAATTTTCTTAGTTTCTTTAAGAAACTTTCTTGACCCATCACTGGTAATATTCATAAGAATATAAGAAAAAATTGAACCTACACCTCGCCAAAGTTTTTTGTTTCGAATGCGTTCCACCAACTTCAAATACCGACAGACAGCTGTTTCGACCTTTATTGGGTCTCATCAGTGTCGGGCAACTTGGTGTAGTGGAACACAATCAAAACAAATTACTCCCTCAGCTTATATGCTCGGTTGTTAAGTCAACAGAGGCGAGATGTAAGAACATCAGGTGATCCACACCGTCAAACGACACTTAATGAAATCATTGAAACTTTAAAAATATATTTTAATGGACATTGACATAAGTTAAATCATCTCATATTTCTGTGAGTTTGTAAAAATTACCAAAAGTATAAATTTTCCTAACGTAGTAACGCGACACAGAACACAGAACGCAAGAAGTTTGGTTCCGAACGATCCGACCGGCATAGGCACTAGAGAGCTGCATGATACAACAGTCATGATGGAGCCGCGTCTAGAGAATCGAGATGTTTCGGTCAGATCTGGATCACAGAAAACAAAATGTACTGCGAGCGCGAGTCGTTCTTAGCTCCAGGGAGCAGGTTCAGATCTTACCAACATATCTCTCGCGACCGGCTCCGGCTCACTGCAGTGAATCGGAGCTTAGAACGGCTTGCGCGCGGCCGCTAGTCAAACGCAGTTCTCTGCTTTGTAATTTCGGACCCGCGAGCCGGTTAGTTTAATTTTCGTGAACCGGTTCACGTAGATCACTTATAAGACCCGGTTCACTGAGCCGGTTCAGATCTGACCGACACATCTCTAATTTCAAGTTTCTAAAGAATAACATGCTATGAAAAAAAACAAAATATTAAGTCAAAACCAAAAAATTTTTTTTAATTACATTAGTGATTAATCTTTAAAATTTAAATTATTAACAAGTTCAAATATAAGTATACTTATAAGTTCGCTGGAAAAAGCTTGTAATCAATTTTCATATCCCTGATTACATCAAGAGTGTTGCAAAGGACTTGCTAAGAGGATCTACTAACAAATTTAAAATAGCAAAACATTAATATTTACAAAACAATCACATTATTTCATAAGCAGACACTGCTGCCCAGTAAACATTTAAAGGAATTAAAATACCTACCAATTATCATGAGTATATTATTGCATATTTGTATACTTAACTTGCATATTTTGAGCATTTGTTATGCATGTACATTTCAGCCTTTTTAAGTTGCATATACTTCCGGTCTCTGTTCATTAATATGTATTTTAAGATATTTCCTTTTATAAATTGCCACTAAGCCTATTAACTTAATTAAGTTAGGATGAGGTAAAAACAAAATTAATCAAAGCTTAATCAACAGTTTAAATTTAAAAGATTTTGCTTTGACCAATAATTATAACCAATTATTAAAATAAATCTTAATTAATTGGAATGTAAATATTGAAAATTAAAGTACTTATTAAATTTCCCTAAAGAGCGTAAAGTTCTTGTAATCAAAAATTGCATTTTTTAAATTAATTTTTACAGAAACTTCTGTAAACATTTTTTCTGACAGATGACAGTTTGTGTTTGTTTATTTACCTGGTGAGCGTTTTTGGTTTGTTTAATAGCGTTTTTTTGTTGTTTAATAGCGCTCATGGTTTGTTCTAGGCGTTTTTGTTGTTTAATAATTAAACCTTGCAAAGAATTAAACGTTATAGCTGGCGGAAACCATAGTCCGCCATTTGTGGCGACCAATTGGTTAGCCCCCTGTGCGGTCAGATATTTACTCCTTCCTGAGGTTTTTTATTCAAAGACTGGAATCCACTTTTTGTTCCAGTCATTATTTATCATTTTAAGTAATATTTTCCTCATCTGATTTTGACAAAATGATGATTATTTATGGGGAGTATGGGAGCATAAGGGAAGTTGCACGCGAATTTCCGTTCACGGTTGAGCGGGTTATGAAGGGCGTTCCATTTTTCTTTGTGGCGCAAGTTCTGGGACACCCTGTATATAAAAATTACCGAGTAAATTTGACAATAATTAATGAATTGCCATTTTAATTAATTATAAAATAATTAATGAATTGCCATTGTAATTAATTATGATATTTTTATCGTAAACTTTATGTTTTTAATTTAATTACAAAAGGAATGCAAACTTTTTCTAAGACTATACAAAACATGGATAGCATAAGAGTTTTTAAGTTTTTAATTGATAATTTAGTGGACAATTTATTTCATAACTCAATTCTTAATTTAATGCATAATTTAATACATAATACATAACTTTAAAATCTGGTTTATACAATTCATTAATTTAATATATATTTTATTTTTTTCAAATGACAATATTGATATTTAAAAGTGACAAATAACACAAAATCCCTCATTAAAACTCATGTTTTGTAGGAACTTTGTAGTATTTTTTAAGGCACAAACAAAAAACACAATAATTATTAATTATAACCTTAAAAAATGGAGAGAGAAAAATAGTTGGTTAATTATAACCTTAAAAAATGGAGAGAGAAAAATAGTTGGCACATGCGCTGTTCAATCTTATTGAGTTAAAGTTAAATTTTCTGAACTTTCAAGGTTATTTAAGAAACACTAAATTGTGAGTTACGTATTAAATCGTTGTATAAACTGTTTCATAGCAGATAGTGTGATTTAACTTTTATGCTTAAGCATTGCTTATGCACTAAATTGTGAATTATGAAATAAATTAATGATATGAAGTTGTAAAGTATACTATAGTTTTATATAAAAAAATTGAACTTTTTTATAAACCCTAATCTTTACTTTTTTTTCAGTGGTTAATATGATACGATGTTACTTGGGCCGTTACACAGTGGACATGCTATTCTACTTCCTAGTCCTTCTGTTCGTTGTGGTCCAATCCAGTGAGGAGTACCGAAAATGCTTGCCGGACAAAGGTATTACACCCCGTATAATAAAAAATACCAAAAATATAACGAGTATGCTCGGTATATCCGATTGTGTATTAAATGGATATAAAGATTTTTTTCAATTAATTCGTTTCAGAGGTGAAGCCTAAAAAGTACGCCCATCACGGCGACAAGTCCAACTCCATTCAGCTAGACGTGTCTAGTAGGATTACGCACCAGCTCACTACGCACGTTTTCAGTATTTTCTTGAGGGAGGTGGTCGGATACGAGGAGGTCCAGATCAACCACTACGAAGACAACTTTCAAATCGACAATCTCATCGAGCGGCTCAATCCCATCAAAAACGAGTAAGTGTGGTTATTAGAGATTTTTTTAAATTAAAGTCTATTTATTTAACAGAAATATTAATAAATAAATAAATTTTATTCAGTTTGTTAATTGAATAGACTTTATATGTCATAGTCTAAAGTGTGTTGTTTTTTCCGCAAGGTGCGAAATCTTTTGGGTAAAATTCGGAGACACCCAGTATATTTATCTCAGTTTTATAATAAAAATCACATTCTTTGTGGAACTTACCACGACCTTTCGTTGATATATCGAAAATTGTACTTAGGAATCGGGTTACAATAAATGTAAACATTAAGTACTTGTTTATAATTTAGCAGCGCATTTTGTAAACATTATTATATAAGCATATTATTCTCGTGGCCAATGCAATACAATAACGAATTTGTGTCCGAATATTATTTAAGTAAATGTAATAATTTAATACTTAAGTAAATACAAATTTAAATTTGTAATTAAGGTTTTGGACAAAGTTACATTTCTATTCCCTTAGTTTTCACCAGAGAATCTCTGGCAGAGATAAACGTTTTCACCAAACAATACGATTAAAAACACCTACAAATAAACATAATCTGTTTAGATTTATGACACGTGTAGATATTTAACAGGTTTATGATTATTTGGAATTATATGCTTTTAAATAAAAAAAAATGTTAAAATTTTTAATAGTACCTATGTTATATTCGGTTTTATGTACCACAATAATAATGATCCTTAAATGTAATGGGTTTTTTTATTAAAAATATTATAATTACGAAAACGCTGAGCTACACGTGCATGAATACATAAAATGTTTATTTAAAATTGTATTAAAAAAATTATAACCGTGAATGAAAATTGTGAAATTATACCACAAAAGGTTTAATATTTATTTATTTAATTTTATTTTGTTAGGTAAAATATATTTATGAAAATAAACTTTTAATAAAATTATATTCTTGTTTTTACGCTACAACTTATTCCTTTTCCACCATTTGACATTATTAAAATAAAATACAGTACATAAATATAAATTTCAAAAATTGGTTTTCTGCGACACACGGTAAATGGGGCTGATTAACTTTTGCTTGCCGCTGTCGCTGTACCTGCTGCTTATACCGTATTTTCATTTGAAATATATACACTCGAGTGAACCCGAACGCCCCTCCCCAAATGCATTGTAAGCGTGTTGCCGTGAGCGACGATTCAGTTATGTTTTGTATTTGCTACTATTTTTCGAGCGATATAGCATAAATTAATTTATTTTACATATTTAAAATTATTACTTTATAATGTTCTACACATTGCAAGAGAAAATTGACTTGATAAGCTGGTCTTTAGTGGGCAATTCTTTACGTCAAACAAGAGTTATTCTCAGTTAAATATCAGGATCGTTCTATTCCGTCAATTCATCAATTTATTTATTTATTTACATTCATTTTAAGAAGTGTGATTTTTAGTTTTCTTAGAATTCATCAAATTATTTTATTTTATAATTTTTTTTTAATTTTTGTTTTTTTATAAGAAAACACTTTTAGTTAAATGCAAAACAAATAATGATTTTACACCTTTAATTAATAATTTACTGTTAAAAGTGATTACGTTGCATTTTAAGTATCTGAATAATCCAGAGCAAACTTCGACTATCAACCAACGCCGGTGAAGGGTCTAATGCTGAATTTCGAAAACCATCTCTTGGCGTCTCCCACTCTTAAAAATTATTATCACACTCTTAATAACATATAAAATGAAAGTACGTTTCAAGTGTGCTTAAACACCACGTGACTGCCCAGCACTGAAGAGGTCCAATAGACCAAAGCAGGCTGCCTATCGGTGCCTGTTTGTGTAGTATGAGGCAGGGATGTTGCGAATATTCGCATCCGCAAATGCGGAGCTTCCGCATAGATTTGGACATCTGCATCCGCATCCGCAATATTCAATGCGGATGTTCATGCGCACGTGATCATGACCAATGGGAGCATTTGTTGTGGTGCATCATTTGTTTCTTGTAAATAAATCATTACGTGTTTGTTTTCGCTGTGGATAACTTATCGTATACTACAGGGATGTTGCGAATATTCGCATCCGCAAATGCGGAGCTTCCGTATAGATTTGGAAATCTGCATCCGCATCCGCGGATGTGAGCCTTTAAAAATCCGCATACGCATTCACATCCGCGGATGTGAAAAAATCGGCATCCGCAACATCCCTGGTATGAGGTATAAGGCCAGTTCTCCTAAATAAGAAATATTGAGAAATAAATGGAAAATATTGCTCTTTTCAACACATGCAGCTTGACTTTTTGCAAAATGTGTTACGGTGCGGAATTTATTGCGAACATTGTACTAAAACTAAATTGTATATTTCCAAAATCCATATTTATTAAGTAACACACTTTATCCCTTTCTTTAGCATTCCTCAGACATGGATAAACTTGGAGGCTTGGGTGCCCCCCGAGTACGACTCCTTCTCCAAGAACTACATAAAAGACTGCGGAAACTTGGCACCGCCGGGCCGCTTCGGATGGTTCATACCGAACGACATGATCGCGCCGATAAAGTCGTACTTTCCCGAGTGGTCCGAGGACATACGAGAGGTGCACTGGGACTTTTTCCGCGAGGCGGATCGCATGAGACCCTTCGATTTCAGCTCGAAAGTTACGCGAGACTTGATCCAGATGGCGTCGAATAACAAAGGAGGGTAAGTGTGCGCAGCAAATTTTCCCCCACGTCATTGTTTGTTGTGGAAAACAACACCCCAGTCTCCATATTCGCCGGATAAGGTGACAAACTTTTGTATTTTTAGCTTCAGCTGCAGGGAATCCTTCTGCGAGAACAGCACGTACATTCCCAAGCAGTGTCAGTACAACAAGCCATGCGCCCTGCTCCTCAGCTCGTCCTACAACGAAACCAGCTTCGTCAAGGACAACATCGACGAGCTGAAGTTGCACGTAAAGGTCGTCTGGTTGGGCGATAAGCTGCGCGACGCAATCGACTTCATCAACTTGACGCATCGCGACCGAAGGGATCAAAGTATGCTGATATTGAGCTGGACGCCTTCGGATATTATCGAAAAACAAGAGGATTACGTCAGCGTTGCCTTCAAGCATTGCGAGCTGATGAAAACGCAGTCGGGGTGCAAGTACGAGCTTCACAGGTTGGTGAAGTTCGCGTGGAGCAAGATACAAACGTTTGCCAGCGATTTGGATGAAGCTTTGACGGTGTTCCGCTTCGATGATTACAGGTAAATATGAGTTCTATTGGCCACCGCAATCCCCAGATTTGAATAAGACAGAAAAGGTATGTCATTTTGAAGTGAAACTTAATTGCGGACGTGGTGAACCTAAATTCCTACAGACTTGTGATATCTGTAGGTCGATTTTAAATATTTTTATTTGATTGGTGTAACGTTGCGCAAGATCCAGACATCCCCCTCCCCCACGTCACACTTCGTCACAAACGGTTACGCTCCCCTCAAAACGTGTGACGTACTTTCCCAGATAGCACAAAGAAGTACTGGAAACGTCCTGAGTATATAAATTATCTTGTATCAGACGTTAGTATTACTAATGTCTGATACAAGATAATTTATATACTCAGGACTAATTTAGTAAGTCCCGAGTACGTCCGAATCAGGTCCTGAACCTTCCCCAGGACGTACCAGGGACATCCGATGTTACCAAATCGTCGGTCCCCAGAACTTCCTAAGTAAGACATCCTCTGGCCGTCCTGAAATACTTTACAGAATTCCCAAAGGGCCTAAGTGACAAAAATAAAATTGTGAGTTATCAATGAAAAACAAATATTTTGAACATATAAATTGGAATATTTTTTAAGTCATTCTGCATGACACGAACTATTTTTAAATGATATTATTATTATTATGATATTATTTAGCCAACTTAACACTTAGACCCTTTGGAAAAACCTTGCTTTAATTGCTAAAAAAAAAAATTACGTACCGAGTATATCCGCTTTAATTTTCCCAAATAAGTAAGAGACTGGACGTACCCAAAACTTCCGATTTAGTCTGGGACGTTCGGACCTATGTGGGACCCGAAATGGACGTCCTGGGTACCTCTTGTGCTATCTAGGTTATGGACGATCCCTAGCATACACTCAACCAAACTTCTATGGAATCACCCAGTAATTACGAGAAACATTATTCCACTTAGAAAAAGGAATTTGGAAATAAAAAGCACTTTATTTAAACCAATTTTATTACCAAAATAAAGAAAAACTTATTAAAACAAATTTTCCAGCGTACAAATTGCAAAAAAAGTAAATTTCTATGAGAATAAACTTGACAGTAAATAAGAATTTAGGAAGAAATAATAGGTTTTTGTTTTTAATAATCAGTGTTTCCACCTCTAGCCTGAACTTTTTCCCACCTCTTTAAAACTACTTCTACTAGTTGCTTTGCGTTGCCGGGTTTTTTTAACGGGCTCTAATACTTGTTTTACCCTATTCCTTAAGTTCTCAATTGGATTAAGATCCGTTAAACAAGAAGGCCAATCTAAAACAGTCACACTTTCCATTTCTCAACAGTTTTAACAACTCTGCTTATCAGTAGTGGTGCATTATCCGGCATAAATAAAAAAAATCGCAGAACACAGTTAAGGGTTCCAAAAATATTAGTGCAAAATAGAGTTGGCCATTTAAATTGGTATTTGAAGCATTAAAACTGGACAAATGAAGATTAGAGAAATATCTTATTTTCGGATGGATCCAAAATTGGCCTACGATAAGACGACCCCTGGCGATAATGAAATGTTCAAAAAGTGTGCAAAATTATTTGAGAACAATGTGCCAACAATGTGCCATCTTTTCCTACATACTGTATTTTATTAAGAAAAATACCTGCACTGTCAACTCCACGACGGGGATTGCTTTGATCTTGGCCATAGCGTCACCTGAGAATTATAGTGTTCTATCTGCATTTTCTTTTTTTTATTCAGGTTAGTCTTGTTTTAAGTCTTAAAGATGATATTGATCTATCTATATATAATTGGGGTAGAAATTGTAAAGTTTAAGGCTTAAACTGTACAATTTCTACCCCAATTATATATAGATAGAACAATATGCATCTTTAATACTTAAAACTAGACTAACCTGAATAAAAAAAAGAAAATGCAGATAGAACACTATAATTCTCAGGTGACGATAGGCCGAGAAGCGATACTTAAGATGTAATCTACTTCATCTTTAAAATAAAGCAAGCGAGACAGATCCAAAATGTGCTTAAACTGTTGAGTGATCACTAAAACTGTAGAAACAATGTGCTATAAAAAGGTGCAATATAAGCGCGAGAAATAAGAAATAATAAAGCGTGGCTTTGTGATTGGTGAAAACATTTCTTTGATTCCCATTAGACAATTCCTAAGAGGACCAAGGTATGTGGATTTAGTTCTACAACCCGTAGTACACAGCAAACGGAAAAATATAGAAGTGTATTGGATGACGCCACGTTTGAATACAATTTTCTAAACCCTCGCCACGGTGTAGAGGTCGTAATTTGACTGTTGAACTAGTATTAATATGAAAATTATTTTATTCTTGAAAAAAAAAACTATATACGACATGATTGTGATTTTTTTCATTTTATTAATTAATTAAGCTGTGTTGAATATTTTTCCTAAAGGAATAATTGCCAATGGACCATTAATTCATTTGTTCGTAGATGCTACAATAACCTGCCCTGGTGTGTACTTTTTGATCAACCAGATTTAAATATTGCTGTACTAACATATACCAGTGGATTCGTATTCGTATTCGTATTGCAATACTCTCCACAGTATAGAGGTCGTAATTTGACTGTTGAACTCACAGACCTTGTTTGTAGGTCTGTGGTTGAACTAGTATTAATATGAAAATTATTTTATTCTTGAAGAAAAAAACTATATACGACATGATTGTGATTTTTTTCATTTTATTAATTAATTAAGCTGTGTTGAATATTTTTCCTAAAGGAATAATTGCCAATGGGCCATTAATTCATTTGTTCGTAGATGCTACAATAACCTGCCCTGGTGTGTACTTTTTGATCAACCAGATTTAAATATTGCTGTACTAACATATACCAGTGGAGATAAAGCAGGGTCTACCAACAGACCTCATTACTAAATTATTAAAGTTTAATAACATATTGATCGTTTTTTCATCATGACCTCTGAAATTTTTAATTCAAATATAGGTACTTTTATATATAATACATACCTAAATATACTTTACATCATATCCTCTGTGTTTTACATACATGAGTTGTTACGGTAAATAAAAATCAGGCAAAGGAACTTTTTCAACAAAATCATATGCAGAAATGAGAATATTCAAAATACTTGCATCCATCAAAAGATCAAAACTTCTTGCAATATTGAATTACACCCAATTTTTATGCTTTATATTGACTAGAACAGTATTAGAAAGACTCCAGTTTTTATAACTTGGTAGAGTAAAGAGAAGTCGATATGCCATATTGCATTGCGCTGTTTTTTTATAATTCTCGGGGTAATTAACTAAAATTATTGCCAGTAAAATTCGAAACGCTCGAATTAAGAAATTGTTGGATAATGTTAAATTATAGCTCGTCAAAATAGCCCTGGCAATACAGAGAAACTAATAAAAGCAGTTTTAGAGGGTTGAGTAAATGTCCTAAAAAGAAATTCATAACTTAATAGAGAGTATGGCTCACCGTAAGAGAAATTAACATTTTTTGTTATTTGTTTAATAGAATTTGTAATTAAATTGGTTAGGATAAGGTGCTTTTTATTTTCAATTCATTTTTTTAAGTAAAATATTGTTTCTCTTAATTACATATAAGATTGGTAATGGGTACATAATCATTATCGATTACATACAAACAAAACAGGAGTTTAATTAAATTGTCCAAAAGAACCTACACCTTACCTGTGGATTTTTTTCTTACAGAGACCTGTTGGACCGATACGAGATAAACAAACGCACCAACGGGTCGAAAACGATCCAGGACATCGCTTGCGACTGGATGCGCAACGACTCTAACCTCTGGCGCGAGAGCTGGAGCGGCTGGAAGAACAAGGAAAAAACGGAAATCTACATCGGGGGCATTTTCCCGCTCAACGGCTCGTCGTACAGCGGAAAAGGCATCGCGATGGGCGCCATTATGGGCATAGACGCGGTCAACGCGAACGAAAGTATTCTGCCGTACTACAACCTGGAGCTGAAGCCCATGAACGGGCAGTGCAGGGCGGACAAAGTCATGCAACACTTTATCGACGTCATCGTCGACAGCTCGAACAACAAAAAAATATTGGGCGTGTTGGGACCGGCCTGCTCCGACACGGTGGAGCCTCTAGCGGGAGTTTCCAAAAACTACCACATGCTTGTTATATCGTACAGTGCGGAAGGTGCTACGTTCAACGATAGGGAAAAGTACCCGTACTTTTTTCGAACTATAGGCGAGAACCATCACTATAAACATGTGTACCTCAAGTTGATGCAGCATTTTCATTGGAAAAGGGTGGCAGCACTGACCGAAGATGGGCAGAAGTACACCGAGTACATATCCAGTATGCAGGATGTGCTTGATAAGGAGAACATTAGTTTTATTACCAATAAGAAGTTTCCCAGGGAGATTGATTCTGGGGGAATGTCTAGGGTAAGTTTAACCATAGTTTTCACAATAAATTTACCCAAAAATTGCTTTTATTAAACTATCAAATGAAAGTTGTCCTTGGGGCCTACGTATATCTAAATACAACAATTTTTAACTAGATTTTAAAGTAGACATATAAACAAAATGATAAGCAACTTTAATTGTTGTTTACAATAGTTTAAAAAATTGCGTTGAAAATGTACCAAGTAATGCACTAATTAAATAACTTGTTTTTACTTTCAAAACCGAAATAATATTTGTACAATGACTCAGGACCGTAGCCAGGGAGGGGCGGATCAAGGCTCCGCCCTGACAGGCTAAACTTTTCCCCTGTCATAGAATCTCAAACTAATTTAAAATTTAATATATATTTTTATAAAGCATTGAATATAACGTATAAGAAATAATTGTCTTCATGTACAATAAAGATCATCCCTAATATTTCATAAAAGAGCAACATATGGGGCTTATTCCATCACTTTTAAACTATAGTTGACTATAGTTGACCTATATGACTAAAATTTACTACCCCACTAAAAACGTTTCTGTGAATTTTTTCAATTTTTTTTATTCACCAGAAATTTGGCGCTTATTACACAGTTCAACACGATTTCCCTCCCATGAAAAATTTTAACACATTTTGAAAATAGAGGTTAAAAAACATACCCTTGTCTCACCGTTTCACGAAATCACGTCATTTAAATTTTTTATAGAGTCATTTTTAATATTTTAACATGTACAACAAATATTTAATTCTCCATTTTGTTATAAATAATTTTTTTCTAATATTGTGTTTTTTTACATAATACAAAAATTATACTTAAAAAAATATTAATTTTAATTTTTTTTTAATAAAACACCTATGTTGGAAAAAAATCTTCGTCTTTTAGTTCTTAGTAGAATCTATAGTGGTATCACCACATAAAAAACATCACTTGATATATTTCGTAAATGTGCAACACCCTGTATAAAATTTAAATAATTTTAAAATGTAGCTTTAATGGTTGTTCATTTATTCAGTAAATAAAAATTTTAAAAAACTATACAGTCTAGCTGTTATCGAACAGCTCTGTTATATTATATGCCGAATACCGTGGTTAACATTTTATTGGATCGCACTAAAAAAAAATGACTGGATCTGAAAAAACGCCGAGACACGGCTATCATTTTTCTTAAGTTTATTTTCAAAATCTGTAGAAAATTTTTATGGGAGGGAAAAAAATCAAATTTTGACGCGTACTGTGTAACTTTTTCCAAAAATGAACGTTTTTTTTTTAATTATTCTTGAAATTTTTCAGTTTTTCAGAAAAAACAAATTTTTTCAAAAAAATGATTTTTTTTTCAAATTATTCGTGTCATTTTTCAGTTTTAATAAATTTAAGTTAAAAAAAATGCAAACATTGAAAAATTAATGTTTTTTCCGAAAACTAAAACAACAAACACCATTTTGTTTTTAATTTTTTGTTGGATACGGCCCTGCACATGATAGGATTATTTGCGTCACCATCGAAATTCCCCCGTTGTTCATTACAGGTTTAAGTAAATTATACTAATTCCATAAATAAACTTATTATACTAATAAATATTGAACTTAAAATACGTATTTTGACGTAACTGGGATGTTTGTCGAAATTTGGCGCTATATATCAAAGTATATACATATATATAGCACTTTTAAATTTACCTGAAACGTCAACAATTTTCTTCTTGTTCAAATTTTTGAAACATTTTAATCTAAATATAACAGTGTTTACTATTTTTCTGTGTTATTAGCTTGTGAAAATGGATACGGCGCGATAATCTCGAAATAAAGTAAACTGTTTATATGTTCTTGATGCGCATCTGTTCCCTAGCTAGCATGCAGTTTGTATGTATTTTGTGCATGCACTTAAGTTTTATGTTTATTAATCGGTGCACCTGTTGTATGACCGGTATTTGTTTTATCGCGCAGATAAATTTTAGGGAGTGCCTCAAGGATCCATATGAGGCCCTCTTCCATTTAAAATCTTCACAAATGACATCTATTTATTAAGATTTGAGACACTCAAATTTAGACTTCACTGTGTATCTGCGTGATAGTACCGATATTACAAATCCCTGTCTTAAACAAATATTATTTATATTTCAGTATTTGCAAGATTTGAAGAGCAAAACAGCCAAAATAATCATCGCTGACGTCATCGAACGCGTAGCTCGTACGGTCATGTGCGAAGCGTACAATTTAAAAATGACAGCGTACGATGGATACGTCTGGTTTTTACCCATGTGGTTCAACCTAACGTGGTACAACACCGACTATTTTAACACGCAAAACGAACACGTCAACTGCACCACAGCCGAAATGCTAAAAGTAAGTACAATGTCTTTGAAAATACTCCAGCAAACACATAAGTCTGATTATGTAAGAATCTTACAGTAAGATTCATGGCTTATTATAATAATGGCATTTTTAGCCAAAGCTTTCCTTGTACTGGGCCGTTACAGAAATGTTTTAATAAAAATATTAATTTTAATAAATAATATTTGCATATTTTATCATAAAAGACCCATATATGGCAATTTTCAGTATCAAGTTAATGGGACTATAAAACCCACTGAAGGGCCAAAAGTTTTTTGTATATATATAAAACTTACATGAACCTTTATCCTTTGGTTAACGCTGTATTTTAAAAATGACGCCCAGTATTAATCATATAGTTTTAAATAAAAAACTTAAAATAGTGTGGTAATAATAATGGTTGTTAAATTTAAATGAGTAAGTAGGTGCATTTTTAATTTTACAAATTTTAGAACTTATTACAAACAAAATACCGCCAAAGAATTTAGTGGAAAGGTTTAATTGATAAGGTCAAAATTGGTACAATTGTGAATAAAAGAAATTAATACTGGCAAAGAAGACCTGTTTTTTTGTTATAGAGGACAATCTACCAAAAAATATTTTAATTTTGAATATTTTCTATTTAATTCTATTTTTTTTTATTATTTAAATATGGAACTTATTCACTTTGCGAAGCACTTACAGGTTTGATTTATTGCCACGGCGCCCCAATTAATGTAAAGTATTTATTGTGGTGGATTAAATGTGTTTTTGTTTATATTTATTGGGTCGGTTATTCCAAGATAATCGGAAATTTTTATACCGACCGTCAGAAAATGTATTGTGACGGTATTGCTGATTATCGTGGAATATCCTTATCTAATAATACCTACGACATTTAATCCACCATAATAGATATTTCACTTATCCATTAAAAATTATTTAAATAACCACCAGTGACGGCTGGTGGATTTTGCGTATACCGATATCTTGGTTATTAGAAATGGGACCCACACCAAATTTATATGAGTTTATAATGACACTAAATTAACAAATTCTCCACAAGCATAATTTAAATAGAAGTTTGCGAAAAAAAGATCTTTTTTTCTTTGTTTTTCTTGTTCCTCGCCTGCAGCCTGGCCCCCCTAATAAAGATATTACATATTTTAGTGGTGCAATTTGTAATTTACCACAGATAATTGAAAAATTTTAAAATTTATTTAAAAAATCCAAATATTAAAGTGTTTATACCATTTTAAATTTGTATTACTTTTACCAAAATAATAAAAAATAAAATCTATAATATTTTTTTTTTTTTAATAAATTTTGAAGTTTGTCAATAAACTATATTTTTTTCGCAAACTTCTATATAAATTCTGCTTGCGCAGAACTTGTTAATATAGTGTCACTATAAGCTCATATAAATTTGGTGTCTAATAACTGAGATATGGCATATGCAAAATCCACCATGGTGCAGCCGCCACTGTAAACCACTATAGAATCTTTAACACCCCATATCAGAAACTTAAGCTTGTAACATTTGTACCTTTATTAAAGGTCCTTTAATCTGCCATATAACCTTTAGCGCGCCATGTCAAAAAAATGGTTCTTGTAAGTGCCTTTATTGACTGCCATTAGAGTTAGCCTTTAGAGGGCCTTTAGTTCATTAAATGTACGTTTATAAAGGGCCATTATAGAAACTTTACGGTTGTGTTTGCTGGTACTGTTTACATTTCTAGATTCAGACGCCTTTAACCATGCAAATGTCCTGATAAAGAAAGTGGGTATATTGATCTACACATTTTCCAGAATTTCAGGGTAAGTTTAGATCGAAGTCCTGGTTAAAACAACGTATCTACGATAAGGATTTTGTCTCGTTCCTTTAAAAGAAAGATCTCTACCCACTTTCTTCTTCTGAACGGCAGATTACACGTCCGTAAATGATTTTTTTATATTTCTTAGAGCATCAATGGTTACTTCTCGATGTCTCACTCGTACTTCGCGCAAAACGACTCCATAATGCTGGAAAATAAGACCGTAAAAGAGTGGAGGGAGGATTATTACCATCGAGCTCACCAAAAAAACTGGGAGCCATCGGATTACGCCGGGTTCGCGTACGACGCCGTGTGGACGTACGCGCTAGCCTTGGACAAGTTGAGCCGCACCGACCCCAGGGCCCTGTCAGATCTGCATTCGGAGAACACCACCATCAAATTGGTCGAGCAGATCGAGAAAACCGACTTTAACGGCGTCTCCGGTAGGATTAAGTTCAGAGGGGGGCCGTCCAGGTTCAGCGTCATCAACATTTATCAGTGGTACGACAACCGATCGAATTTGATCGGCAATTTTTACCCCAACTTGACCGACGACAAGCCTGAAATACTGGGCGGCACTTTGAACTTCACGAAGCAAGCTAAATGGTTCACCCCTGACGGTGAGGTGCCGGAGGACGGTACGCAACCACCCGACCCTTGCGCAGTGGAGTCTGTAGCCAGGTTCTTCAACGTGCAATGCACGCATGCCATAATAATCTTGAATGTGATCGGGACTTTTATAGCTGCGGTCATCGTCATTGCGATGTGCTGGCATTTTAAGAAGCACTACGACAAGAAAGCCGAGGAGCAGCTGAAAAGAATAAGAGAGCTCGAGGAAAATGAGAATAAGTTGTACAAGTTGACAGAGTTGGATGATTGGGAGATAGCGCGCGAAAAAGTGGTGATTAATCGTAAGTTGGGCGAGGGTGCGTTTGGAACGGTGTATGGAGGTGAAGCTGACTTCCCCAACCTGGGTTGGGTGCCGGTGGCCGTGAAAACGCTCAAAACGGGCTCATCGGCCGAGCAAAAGTTGGAGTTTCTTAGCGAGGCCGACGTGATGAAGCGCTTCCAGCACCCCAACATCATAACGCTGCTCGGCGTGTGCACGCAGAAGGAGCCCGTGTACACGATAATGGAGTTCATGCTGTACGGCGACCTGAAGAACTTCCTGCTCGCGCGAAGGCACAGAAAAGTGGAGACGGAGGAGGAGGTGTCGCCGGCGCGCCTCACGAACATGGCGCTAGATGTCGCCCGCGGTTTGAGCTACCTGGCCGAGCAGCGGTACACGCATCGGGACGTCGCGTCGAGGAATTGCCTGCTCAACGCGAGGTTCAACGTGAAGTTGGCGGACTTCGGGATGACGCGGCCCGTCTGCGAGAACGATTACTACCTGTTTCAGAGGAAGGGGATGCTGCCGGTGCGGTGGATGGCGCCCGAGTGCTTGATCATCGGCAAGTTCAGCCCCGCGTCCGACGTGTGGAGTTACGGGGTGTTGCTGTACGAGATTATCACGTTCGGGAGTTTTCCGTTTCAAGGGAAGAGCAATAACGAAGTGCTGGATATTGTGAAGAAGGGCGGGACGCCCAATATACCGGATGGAGTTGAGTCACTCTTGTAAGTATTTTTTTATGTTATTATTTATTTCGTTTCTGGATTTTTATGTTATTCGCTTCAAAGTTTAAACATGATTTGGGAAAAAATTAAATATATTATTAATATATTATCTTTCAATTAAAAAAAATGTACCTGAAAATTAAACAAAAACTAAATAAAAAAAATTTGAAAAAAGACTGAAAAATCTTTAATATTCTAAATCCTAAAATTTAAAACTGAATTTAATTTTTTAAGGTTTTGGTATATTTAACAATGAACATAAAAATTATTCGTAAAATCGCAAAAAACCATATTAAAAATCCTTAATATCAAAATCTTAAAATCATTAAAATAAAAAAATCCTAATTAAAAACCTTAAAATATCCTACAAATTTATAAATAAATGAAAATTTTAATTTTGGGGTTTAAAAAATACTTCTAAAAATTTGTAAAATAAAAACATTTTAAAAATCCTAAGTATCAAAATTTCATAAGAACACAAAAATCTTAAATGTCTCAAAATCCTTAAAATTAAAAAATGGATATAATCTGAAATTTTAACAACAAATGTAAAAATAACAAAATTTGAAAAACTTTAATATTCTGAAATCCTTAAGAATTAATGAAAATTTAAGGGTTTAAGATATTTAAAAGATTTAAAAAAATGTTTAAATAATTCGTAAAATCGCTAAAATACGAATATTTTAATAATCCTTAATTAATATCAAAAATTTTGATTCAAAATTTTATAAAAACAAAATATCTTAAATTTCTTAAAATCCTTGAAATTAAAAAAATCACCTGAACTTTAAACAAAATCTAAAGAAAACTGAAAAATACCCAATAATCCTTATAATTTATTAATAAATGAAAATTTTAATTTTAGGTGATTTATGATATTTAAGATTTTTTTTAATTGTTTTGAAAAATCGCAAAAACAAACATTTTAAAAATCCTTAATATTAAAATCTTATAAAAACTTTAATGTCAAAATCCGTACAATTAAAAATTTATATAATCACCTAAACTTTAAACAAAATTTGAAATACCTTAAAATACTTTTTAAAAAATGTTTAATTCTTTTAAAAATTCGTATAATTTGCAGAAAACCAAATATTTAAAAAATACTCAATATTAAAATTCTCTCCTGAAATTAATTGTTTAAATAATTCTTGTACAAAAATAACTAAATTTGAAAAACACCTAAAAATTAAAAATAAATTTTACTTTTTTAAGGGTTTTGGGATATTTATTATTAAAAAAAAATTGTTAAAATTTTAATTTAAAAATTCGTAAAATCGCAAAAAACAAACTTTTTAAAAATATGCATATAACAATATTTCATAAAAGCAAAAAATCCTTAAAATTAAAAAAATATATATAATCACCTGAAGTTGTAAAAAACATAATTTCATAAAATGTAAAAATCTTTAATAAAAATAAAATCCTTAAAATTCGTATAATTTTCAGAAAAACAAACATTTTAAATATACTCAATATTAAAATTCTTATCTGAAATTAATTGTTTAAATATTTCTTGTACAAAAATAACTAAATTTGAAAAACACCTAAAAATTAAAAATAAATTTTAATTTTTTAAGGATTTTGGGATATTTATTATTAAAAAAATGTGTTAAAATTTTAACTGGAAAATTCGTAAAATCGCAAAAAACAAACATTTTAAAAATTTACATACATATAACAATAAGTCATAAAAACAAAAAATCCTTAAAACCAAAAAAATATATATAATAACCTGAAATTGTAAAAAATAACAAAATTTGAAAAAACCTAAACAATCTGTAATATCCTAAAATACTAAAAAAATTAAAAAATAATATTTAATTTTAATGATGTTAAGGGTAAAAAAAATTGTGTTAAAATGGCAAAAAAAAAAACAAAAATCTAAATCTAATGTAAACACAAAAAATCTTAAATGTCAAAAACCTTTAAAAAAATATAAATTTAAATAAAAATTCAAAAAAAATCTGATAAATCTAAAATCCTTAAAATTTAAAAATGAATTTGTATTTCAAGGGTTTTAAAACATGTAAGATTAAGAAAATTCGTCAAATCGCTAGAAAATACAAACATGTAAAAAAACCCTTGAAAAATCTTTAAACTTAAAAATTCGTTATTTCACAAAAACTAAATCGAACCAAACGCTAAATAAATGCATAATTCCAGGAGAGACCTGATGAGCAGTTGCTGGCAAACGGACAAGAAAAACCGGCCGACGTCCTCGGAGATCGTGGAACTCCTCGCCACGCACCCAACCCTGCTGAAACCGTGCGTCGAAACGATGGTCTCCGTCGACCTGGAACCCGACCAGATCGACATGTCCAAGCTGCCCGACTTCCGGCGCGGCAAAGTGCCCGCGCAGCAGCAGAACGGCGCGGTACGCGCCGGCGCGCAGACGCGCAGCGCCTCGCCCAAGCACCAGTCGGTCCCGATGACGGCCGCGACGCTGCCCGAAAGCGCCACCGACAGCGGCATCAGCATCCTGGTGGACAACTGCAGCCCCAAAGAGCCCCTGTTGGGCACCTCGAGGTCCAACTCCAGCCTGCTGAACCTCGGACTGACCAAGTACGTGACGATTCAGCACGGGAAGGGCCAAGTCGAAGAGGAAAATTACGTCAACACTTCGAATGGCCACGTGGTGACTAAGGTATGATGCAAAGACAACTTGGATGCGCTGTAAACACACACACACACACACTCAATAAACCGACTGATTTTTTACGTACAATAGTTTTGACATCGCACATCAACTATGTGTTCAATCTCACCCACGCACCCTGTATATTTTTTTCATTTTTTTCTCGAGTCTCAATTTTTACTATTTAACACTTTTTTTGACACTAGAGTGGGCCAAAAAAATCAACTATTTTTTTTTATAAAGTATATCAAAAATATGGTTTGGGGTGACAAAAAAAATTAATATATTAATATAAAGAGGTCTATTATGAGGCGCCATATGTTTCATAATTATTTTATTCGATATATAAAATGTTTTGCAGAAAAAATATTATATATGTAAAATTTACTACAATTTTGCTTATATAGGTACATTTAAAAATATAAGTTTTATATAAGTTGATACGATTCAAAAAAATATATATTGAATTTAGCACCATGCAAAGTTCGATATAAAATCTTTTTAGTTTGAAAAGTCCCCGAGCGATGGCGCTGCCTGTTCATGATTTTTGTTTGTGTAGGTACAATTAATTTAAATAACTACCTATCATTAATAATATCGATAAACCACTGTAATTTTAGCCGTATAATTTACAAATCAACAGCTGTTATCTAAAAAATACGTGTGCAAATGATGATTTTTTTAATTCGAATACTTTATTAATGCAACACACCATACACAAACAAAAATCATGAACAGGCAGCGCCATCGCTCGGGAACTTTTCAAACTAAAAAGATTTTATATCGAACTTTGCATGGTGCTAAATTCAATATATATATTTTTTTAAATCGTATCAACTTATATTTTTAAATATATATAAGCAAAATTGTAGTAAATTTTACTTATATATTATTTTTTCTGCAAAACATTTTATATATTAAATGAAATAATTATGGAACATATGGCGCCTCATAGTCTATCATCGCAATTTTAAATTTTTTCCCTCAGCAAGTTTTTGTCTCGGAACTCCCAAACTATTGAGTTTAACAAAATTGACTCAGAAATATTTTTTTAAGAAAATTAAATGCTCTACAGAAAAGTTTAAAGTGCAATTTTCCGTCAGATGAACCGTTTCCTTAAAATCATGCCTTAAAAATTGGTATAATTTTACATTTTGATCTTATAACATTGGAATTTTGTTTTTTATGTAAAAATCAGAACCCAGAAAAAAACCGATAAATATTCTTATGGGAAATCAAATGCTTTACAAAAAAGCCTCTTAATATTTTTGGCTAAATTCACTCAATCAAAAGTTATTCAAGGTTAAATTTTCCTCTGTAGATTTATTTTTTTATGGGTGATAATTTGATTTTTTTCTTTACAAATGTGTATTATATATTTAATTTCCAATAAAAAAACATGACTGTTATTATTTAAACGATTAAATAGGTAACAGTGAAAATAATATTTTCTAAAGAAAATAGCTTCTTAAAGCGAAAAAACTGTGACCCAAAAAAAATCTAGAGCGGAAAAAACAAGAATTTCGTTTTGACTTCAAATTTAACCTTGAATAACTTTTGATGGAGTTAATTTAGCCAAAAATGTTAGGAGACTTTTTTTGTAGAGCATTTGATTTCCCATAAGAATATCTATCGGTTTTTTTCCGGGTACTGATTTTTACATGAATCACAAAATTTCAAATTTAAAAGATCAAATTGTAAAACTATACCTTTTTTGTAGAACATTTAATTTTCTTCAAAAAATATTTCGGAGACAAAAACTAGCTCTGGAAAAAAAAATATTTAAAATTAATATTAATATTATGGACTTTGTTACCCCAAACAATATTTTCGATAAACTTTACAAAAAAAAATAGTCGATTTTTTTGGCCCTGTCTAATTGACACGCTCTGATTGGTCCATCGTTTTCTATATATATCATTTTCTTTAGAAAGTAAACTCTCAAATTTATTAATTGTAATAATTATTGTCCACACAGACGGCAAAAAAATATACAGGGTGTTTTCCCCGACCGTGCCGAAAATTCGTTGGCAAATAATTGAATCAAATTTAATTTGCAGTATTTTTCTTTTCGGTTAAAATTTTACCTACAAGCATTCCAAATAAAATCGCAATTCTATTTATAACGAAATCACCACAAAAAATTATGGAAATGTAATAATAACTAACATAAGCCATTTAAACCAAAAACGATACCAAATATATATAATTATTATGTTATACTCAATGTTTGAAATTCTTTATAAAAATATACACATCACAAAAATGTACATACTGAATAATTTTATACCCTCAGCTTTAAGTGTTTGTTAATATTGTATAAAGTATTTTTTTATACAAATATTATAAAATTATCTATGAAGTTTGGTTGAAAGTATTATTAATTTAGGAAATAATATTTAATATTTTTTAATTATTCTAGTAAGATTCCATATCTTTTTAGAGCGTTTTAATATTGAATGAGTCAAGGTTATGTAAATATGTTAGTTTAGAAAAATTTATTCAATATTAAAATGCACACATCATGTTTCCATAATTTTTGATCTAGTCATTGAGTTTTCATAACTTTTCCTATTGTAAAATTTACCTATTTAATTATTTATTATTCAGTTCAGTAAATCTTATTGGACCATTTAGGAATTCATTATTTATTATAATAATAAAAGTATGTATGTATACGAGTATTTATTTTTTAATATATAACATTTTTCATAGAAACTTTGTTTAAGAGTGACTTGGAATAAATAAATTTGAAATTCAGTATTTTTTAAGACAAATATTATAGAAAATTATATTATACTCTAAAAATGAAGGTTTTAACTAATTGGTTATTTATAAATTTATTTAAGTATTACTATTTCAATTTGCTTTTGAACAGATAAAATTGTATTTAATTTTTTTAGTATGAACCATGACTTGAATGTTCCTTATTAACATTGAATGAGGGGGTTGTATTTTTAACATACTGTGTTAAAAAAACGTTATACACCTCATTATATTTACCTTTTTGGGTTTAAGACGTTTTTATTGTACTGATAAAACATTTAAACATTATTGTTTTTAATTGATTAACTAAATTCAGTACCTGGCCAATTTGTTGGACTCGCTTACAAATTGACTTTAGTTTTGGAAATTTGTAACAGTCAATTTAGCATGCATTTTTGAACTAGTCAATTTTTGTGAAAAGATATAGACTATTTTACGAATTCGAAATACTAAAGAAAATTTTGAGCCAGCCTGATAAATTGGACAGGGATTGCAACTATAAAATAATTCATATCAACGAATCTATTGTTCGTTTGATTGCTACATGTATTGTATTGTGTAAATAAGGTTTTGAATGAGTTTTGTATGATACTGTAGATAAATAATAAATATTTGTACCTGACTGTAGGACCCACTTACACAACTTTTCGTTTAATATTATTTAAAATTTGCAGCAATTAATTAAAAAACGATAACCTAATTGATGCGTCGGTAAGGCGACATATTTTTAAGGATCTTGCTGTTGAAGACTTGAATTGATTTGTAAATTGGGTCCATAATTATATATTAAATATATTTCGTCCAGCTATTTTTTATAATAAATGTGTATCAACAGAAGTATAGTTTTATTTTTAACCCCAAAAATGAAGTTTGAATGTAGGCGACCCAGATTACACGTGGATTAATTAGGATATTGGCCATGTATATATTAGATATAAAAAAAGGTTAAATTACGATAAAGTTGCGCATTTTTACGCCAATCAATGATACAAAAAGAAATTTGACTAAGTTTTCGAGATATCGTCTAAAAACGAGAATTTGTAATTTTTATTTTATTTTTTTATTTAAAAACGATTAAAAGGCTTTCCCAATTCGGATATTATTGAGGCACTTTTTAAATTTTTCTCCCAAAATCTTTGCTAGCATTTAAAACTGCCTATAGTTATGAAAGTCAACTTACCCATGCTTAACCTTGAAAACGGACACCCTGTATATTTTTGTCCACCTATGTTCCTCTTTTTTATTTAAAGATGTTCCATAATAAATGTGTATCAACAGGGTATTTTTTTATTCTTAACCCCAATAATTACACGTGTATTGAAGAAAGGTAATTTGAATGAAAAGAAGCATTTGGGTTATTAAATTTTATTTATTTGACATTTGAGTGTTGAACTCGTACAAGTGTATAATTAATAAATATTTATATATTATAAAAACATAATATTTACAGAGAAACGATTAGTGTAATAATGCTGTATTAAATAAATATTACATACAAAGATGATTTGGGTAAAAAACTATGATTTGCTTAAAGAAAAAAATGTTAACAGTAGATAATATCTACTAGATATATTTATAATTTTTTACCAAATTTGTAGAAAATAAAACTAAGCAGTTAAAGGCTAGTGCACCATATAAACAAAATTCTCAATTTACAAATATTTAATTAAGCAAAATTTTCTTAAGTGACTTATAAAACCGGTAAAACGTCGATGTAGGCTTTCAACGGAGTTCCTTAATTAATTAAAAATATTAGTTCAATTTATTTATCATTATTGAAAGCAGACATCGACCGATGTTACCGAAAAACAGCCCTGCATGTCTAATCTATATAAATACAATTGGAATGACACTAATAAGAATTTTTATTGTATTTTTCATGGACAATTTTCATTATGTACTAGTAAAGACATAATTCATTCAATTCGCTTAAACTTTTTGTGTTTCCTTGGCACAAATAAAAAGTTGTTGTTGGTGACAACACCGGGTATATAAAAAAAATTACGAAATCCTAATATACATACAAAAGGCACATAATATGAAAAAGAACGTTTATGGTTAAAAAAAAAATACTTTCACAAGAGTTGCGTCAAAAATAGCGCACGAGATAAAAAAAATAATTACGATGATTACATTTAATAAAGCATTAACAAACAAATACTATTAGAGAGTTGATGACTAAATAACAAACGTTAAGAACGAGGGAAACAAAAGAAAAACCGGCCTAAATCACAAGCGCCATATCTTTTTTGTTGGGCAGATTCACCTTTTTACCTTGCCATAAGGAATTGTGAATGGTAAATGCGTCGATTGTGACAGTTAAATGTTTCGTGTGGATCTGCGAAAAACACTTTCCACCAGAATTATACCTGAAAAAATGTTAAATTACAATTTTAAAGAAACCTCCAATTTTTTACCATCATACTACTTTTAGGTGAAGGAAAATAACTTGTTTGGTAAGTAAGTAGGTCGTTTACAGAGTTCATGAACACAAAGGGTCCAAATACGGATCCCTGCGACACTCCATTATTAATTAAAGAAAACATTACAGGAGTAATGTTTAATATTTTTTTATATACAGGTCACCTAATACATTGTAATTCTTTGGGAGGAGAATAGTACACGCCAAACCAAGAAAGTTTTTCCTCTATAATTTTTACATTAGAGCTACTGTTTTTTAATAAAAAAATTATGAAATTTCTGTCAACTTTGTGTGGATAATAACGGCAGGATAGTTGAACATTTATTATGATTTTGTGGAACACTTAAAAAATAGCTTCATGAGCATCAATCGACCTAAAAAGTGAAAGGTGAAATTTAAAATCGACGGAAAAACCACAGAAACCTCGAGATACCTAACAATAAAAAGTAAGTATTGTTTTATTCAAAGTATCAATGATAACACACATTTAAATTTTTAATGAATGTAGATTATTGACCACTGTGCAAGCATATTTTGGGTCAGTTATAAAAATTTTTGAAGATGTGTTGTTTCTATAATAATAATGTTATGATAGTTCTCAGCAATAAAATTAAGTAATATAGTATCATAAAATTATTGTTATAGGAACAACATATCTACAAAAATATTCGAGTACTTGTACTCAAATTTTGTACTTTAAGTACTTTTTATGTACTCGGTACTCAGTCCAGAGTACATTTTAAAAAAAGTACTTATACTTATTTAATTTAAAAATGTAAAAATGGACACGAGTACCTACATTGGTTGTACTTGAGTACATTTTTTGTACTCGAGTACTTTTGTTGTACTCGAGTACTTTTTGTACTCGGCATCTTTGTGTTAAGTTAACACAACCACTACTATAGTGGCACTATAATTTATCGCCATAATTATAATGCTTTAGCAACTAAAATTTAACGGTTCGGCAATATTCGGAATAAATCCTCGATATGGGCAAGTTGGCAAACTGCATTTTTATATTTCTTTAATACACGTATTTATTTATGATTTGAATATTTTTTTTCCAAATAACCAATTATTTCGATTTTAAACAGAAAACCTTAACCTTATATTTTGTTTTGTTAAACTTTTAACAACTTTTTTTGCTGGATACTGAAACCTAAATTACATTTTAAGAGTTTTTGGAAAAAGTACTTAAGTACTTACGAGTACAAGTACAAATTTGTACTTGTACTCGTGAGTACTTTTGGATTTGTTTGTACTTTGTACCCAAGTACATTTTTTTTAAAGTACTTGTACTTTTTCTTGTACTCGGAACAGCTCTGCCCGTTAGTAATCATGGAATCGCCCTAATGCAAAAATAATAGAGGAGAAAATTTCTTATTTTGGCGTGTACTATTATTACCTTAAAGGATAACAATTTATTTGGTGACACTGTATATGAAATGTAAATTAAGTTACATTTTGGAAATTTGTTGTTTGTTTTAAAAATATTTGGTACCCATTTCAAAAGTTTTGATTGAAATTTTTACAATATTGAATCAATATTTTTAACAATGAGTACCATATGTATGGAGGCCCCAGAACAGATCCTCGGGGCAACCCATAAAAAAACTTGAAAGCATCCTATTGTAATTTGTCCAGGATGAATAAAACGTAAAAATTCACTTACTTGAAAAACTTGTCGAACATCTTGTCGTTGACCTGCTTGGGCCCCGTGCCGTACATCTTGACGACCTCGTCTTGGTCGGGGCAGTACGAGTAGAGAGCTCGGAACTGACAGCCCGCGTCCCTGAACAAGATGAGAAAATGCTTGCTTTCCGAACGCTGGATTTCCTCGAGGACGCGCCGCTTCGCCTCGCGGTTCACGGCGCCCGGAAACACGCAGTACTCGACTGCGTTCAGCATTATGCTGCGGTTCGATTTGGCCGCCGGCTGCTTGTACAGTCTTGGACCTAAACATGCACAGTTATTTGCTGTTTTATCGTTTCAAGGCAAATTTTTGAATGGTTATCAAATTTTTAGGTCTTCCACAATTAAGTATCTTTTGAAACGGAATGAATACAAAATGGAACTCTTTTCGACATTTTTATTAAGTTAAATATTATTTTATAACTTTAAAATGGACTTTAACCTTTCAAAGTGTGTTTTGACACCCTTAAACATGTTTTGAAACATTATAAAGCCTTCAACTTTCTAAATTGTGTTTTTGAGATCCTTGAGTATTTTTGACATTATAAAATTAGGTTTTCCATTCTAAAATATTTTTGACATTCTTGAATATGTTTTAAAACATTACTAAAACTTCAACCTTCTAAATTGTGCTTATGACATTATTTAACTGAGTTTCTCTTTAAAATGTGTTTGACATTTTCAAACATGTTTTTAAACATTCTAAATTGTATATTTCTTAAAACACAATAAAACCGTTAACCTTCTAAATTGTGTTTTTGAAATTATTTAATTGAGTTTCCCATTCTAAACTGTGTTTTGACACTTTTTAACATGTTTTGACACTCTTAAATATGTTTTAAAACATTATAATAAAACATTTAACCTTTGAACTACTGTTTACGAAATTCAAAATGTGTTTTGACATCCTTAAACATGTTTTGAAACATTATAAAGCCTTTAACATTCTAAATTGTGTTTTTGAGATTCTTGAGTATTTTTTTAAACATTATAAAACCTTTAACCTAACTGTGTTTTTGACATTATAAAATTAGGTTTTCCATTCTAAAACATTCTTGAATATGGTTTAAAACATTACTAAAACTCGCTAAAACTTCAACTTAAATTGTGCCTATGACATTATTTAACTGAGTTTCGCATTTTAAAATGTGTTTGACATTCTCAAACATGTTTTTAAACATTCTAAATTGTGTTTTTGACATTATTGTCTATTTCTTAAAACACAAAAAAACCTTTAACCTTCTAAATTGTGTTTTTGAAATTATTTAATTGAGTTTCCCATTCTAAACTGTGTTTTGACACTTTTTAACATGTTTTGAAACATTCTAAATTGTTTTTTTGAATTTGTTTTAAAACTTTCTAAATCATGTTTTTGACATTCTTAAATATTTTTAAAAACATTATAAAATTGTGTTTTAGACATTATTTCATTGAGTTTTACATTTAAACTGTGTTTTGACATTCTGAATTGTGTTTTTGACACTCTTAAATATGTTTTAAAACATTTTAAATCGGGTTTTTGACATTCTTGAATATTTTTTGAAACATTATAATAAAACATTTAACCTTCGAAATACTGTTTACGACATTATTTAATTGAATTTTTACATTCTAAAATGTGTTTAAAACATTACAAAGCCTTTAACATTCTGAATCGTGTTTTTGACATTCTTGAATATTTTAAAATATTATAAAACCTTTATCCTTCCAAATTGTGTTTTAAACATTATTTAATTGAGTTTTTCATTTAAACTGTGTTTTGACATTCTTAAACATGTTTTGAAACATTATATAGCCTTTAACATTCTAAATTGTGTTTTTGACATTCTTAAATATGTTTTAAAACATTCTAAATCGTGTTTTTGAAATTCTTGAATATTTTTTGAAACATTATTATAAAATCTTTAACCTTCTAAATAGTGTGTACGACATTATTTAATTGAGTATCACATTCTAAAATGTGTTTTGACATTCTTAAACATGTTTTAAAACATTATAAAGCCTTTGACATTCTAAAATGTGTTTTGACATTCTTAAACATGTTTTAAAACATTATAAAGCCTTTGACATTCTAAATTGTGTTTTTGACATTCTTAAATATGTTTTAAAACATTCTAAATCGTGTTTTGACATTCTTGAATATATATTTTTTGAAACATTATAAAACCTTTTACCTTCTAAATTGTGATTTTGACATTATTTAACCCTTTCACTACGGGGCTCGCCCGCGCCATGTGGTCCCCCCATACGGGCAAATCCAAGCCTTGCGCAAACGTGCGTTTCCCGCTCTCAGGATCAAACTCAACTTCGTCTTCGTCACTATTATATAACGCCTGCTCCAGCTCTTTTTCAGTAAGGTATCTCTTACTCATTGTTGCTAATTTAATATAAATAAATAAATAACGTATTTATTAATCCTTATGTAAATACATACTATGTAAGGTTACAACATAAGATTAAATGGCCAATGACCGAGGTCCTTCAGCCATAATTTAATATATTTTATAACAAATTATTGCATAACCACCCCGAAATCATTTTGCGGCAACTAACCTAAATGCTATTAGAGCGGGAAACGGTTCCGCCAGCGCAGAGACAAAGACCGTCTAATTGTATCGATGTAGCCACAAATGTGTGTTTCCCGTCGTTAATAGTGACTCCACCTAATTGAAACAATGCGTCTCCCGCGTATCTTTGAGGTCAGTAATTTACGCATTTTTGTGACTCCCGGAGTGAAAGGGTTAATTGGATTTCCCATTCGAAAATGTGTTTTGACATTCTTAAATATGTTTTGAAACATTACAATAGTTTTTACGACAATATTTGAGTTTGCCATTCTAATATGTGTTTTGATATTCTTATACATGTTTTGAAACATTATAAAGCCTTTAACATTCCAAATTGTGTTTTTGACATTCTTAAATATGTTATAAAACATTATAAATCGTGTTTTTGAAATTCTTAAATATGTTTTGAAATATTACAAAACCAAAGATTAAAACCTTCTAAATTGTGTTTATGACATTATTTAACTGAGTTTGGCATTTTAAAATGTGTTTTTAGATTTTTAACATGTATTGAAACATTCTAAATTCTGTTTTTGACATTATTTAATTAGGTTTTACATTCCCAATTGTGTTTAAGCAATTTTTTACCAAGTTGAATAAGATTGTAACACTTTAAAAAGAATTTTAACCCTCTTAATTGTGTTTTTGACTTTAAATTTTATAAAAAAAACTAATTTTCTTACCATTGTAGTCCATCATACTGCTAGTAGAACTAATATCGCTGGAACCATCGTCGAACGTCCTCCTTCCGGCTCTAGACATCAATCCGGGCAAACTTCCGGGTCCGGAGGGCGACGGAAGGTGGCGCATGCTGCCCATGCCGGGAGATGGCGCTCGGCGCGGAGGCGTCGCCCTGCCCAATCCCGAGTCGGTATCGCCGTAACGATAGGCGAAGCTGTCTTGATCAGTGCTGGAGCCTGCGAACAAAATTCAACGGTTTCCGATGAATTTTAAGGCCGTTTTAAAAGGTTACGTTTACTCGGGTTAAAGAGCCTTTACCGAAGGGTTAATTGTTGATGCGTTTAAACTCCACCTTTATGAGTTAGGATTAAAGAGTTCATGAATGATGATTACATCACTTTTAAGCCGGTTATGATGCGCGCAGTTTCCACTGCGCAGCAAGCTCAAAAGTGATCTGTTCGATGAGTTTACTAATTTAAAATGATTCTAAATCTAGTAAACTGTTAACTTTTAACCATACACTAAAAATAGTAGTCAGATAACAAGTTTTTTCTTTTATTTTTTTCATTAAGATAAACTTGTTCATTTGACCCAAACAATTTCTAGTTTTTAGCGTATTAACAAAGCTTAAATTTTGTAACATTAGGAAGTAATACCAATTTTGCCAAATGGCTATAAACTATTCAAGAATAAAAACTATCCAACATTTGATTATAATTATATGTACTCACCAGAGCTGGCCAAGTACTTAAGTACTTTTACTCGTATGTATTTTAAATTTAAAATACTTATTACTTGTACTTAAAAACCAAATTCAATGTACAAAATACTCGTGGAATTCACAAGTAATACATAAGAGTATTTCCGTGTTTTATATCGATGACTTTTTGCAAAAATATCGCACTTGCATTTCTGTTCCTTCCTTTTTATCCGTCAGCAAACCTTATTTTTGAAAGTTTTAAATAGGATTAAATGAACAGTAGTGGAATTGACAATTGTATTAACTAATTTTTTTTTTCAAAAGTACTCATTCTCTTTACTTGTGGGTCATTCCACGTTACTCGGGGATTTTTGTCCCGCCCGTCACAATTAAAAATTGTGAGTAAAAACTACACTTTATAAAATTTATTTAAAAATATTGTTTTATTATGCTTTTAATAAGTTATAGCCACAATAATAATAATATTATAAAATATTAATTTTATAACTTGTGGTTTTTACTCACAATTTTTAATTGTGACGGGCGGGACAAAAATTACCGAGTAACGTGGAATGCCCCTTGTGTTTTCACGATTACTGCTCCTAACATAACTTCTCTTTACAAATGTACTTATGAGTAAATACTTTTTTTAGTACTCATGCCCAGCTCTGGTACTCACCAAATTTTAAAAAAATAGTACTGGATATTTTTAATTCCTATATAGATTACAAAGAACAAACATTTAAAAAAAGATAAAAAAATTAAGGGTTAAAAATTAAATAATTCGAATTTTTAACCTTTAATAAACATTTTACAATATCACATGACATGGACAACAATTCACTTAACCGGGTTTGGAAAAAGAACTGAAACAGCAAAAAAAAAAAGAAAAAAACCATCACCAAACCAAAACCAAAGAATGTTTCTAAAAAATAACCGCCCAAAAATTAAAACTTCACGTTTTAATTTGAAGACAACCTAAGCTAAAAAAACAACCAAAAACCTAAGGACACTTAAAAAGGTAATGTACAATAATAATAATAATAATAATAATAACAAATGATAGACCTTCATGCCCCACGACCATTCCAGTAATAATAATAATAATAATAAAAGACATCTAGCGTTTTAATAAAGATTAATATTGTTGTGGTGAAACAGGAGGATTTTGTTTGTCATCTTACCGTACAGATTCATCAAAGAGCTCGACTTGCGGCCTTTAAAGTTTTGATAGCCGGATAATTTAGGGCGGCCTCGAGCCTGGGCCGGCGAAGGGTCTGCAAAAATATCGTTAACATACATACTACTGCCAATTCGGCTCCATATGGTTTGTCATGTATCCATACACCTTTATTTTTTCACTTGCAAGTGCACTTACGTTACTTTTACAAATACTTCAACTGATATACAAGGTCAAAAAAAATCCAGGTTATAACACGTATATTATACGTCGTATAAGTAGATTAAAACATTTTAGTCACTTTTTCAAATTAGATAATTTTTTACATTCTTAAATTGGACTTCTCATTCTAAAATGTTTTTTGACATTCTTAAATTTTTCTTAAAACATTATATAGCTTTTAACACTTTACAATGTGTTTTGATATTAGCCATTACATTCTTAATTGTATTTTTGTCATTCTTTAATTGAGTTTCCCATTCTAACATGTGTTTTGACATTTCTTAATATGTTTTGAAACATTATAAAGCCTTTAACATTCTAAATTGTGTTTTTATCATTTGTTTAAAAATTAAATATGATTTTAACACTAAAATGGATTTAAACCCTATAAATTGAGTTTTTATTCTTTAATTGAGTTGATAAAGCCTTTAACAAGCTAAATTGTGTTTTTGTCATTATTTAATTAAGTTTCCCATTCTAAAATGTTTTCTGACATTCCTGAATAAGTTTTGAAACATTGTTAAGACTAAAATGGATTTAAACCCTCTAAATTGAGTTTTTATTCTTTAATTGAGTTGATAAAGCCTTTAACAAGCTAAATTGTGTTTTTGTTATTATTTAATTAAGTTTCCCATTCTAAAATGTTTTCTGACATTCCTGAATATGTTTTGAAACATTGTTAATTGAGTTTTTGATTCTAAAAATGTGTTTTGGCATTCTCAAATATGTTTTTAAACAATATAAAGCCTTTAACATTCTAAATTGTGTTTTTGTCATGTTTGGAAGTTTAATAAAATTTTATTGATCACCAAAATGGATTTTAACGTTTTAAATTGTATTTTCATTCTTTAATTAAGTTTCCTATTCTAAAATGTGTTTTGACATTCTAAATCATGTTTTAAATCATTATAAAGCCTTTAACATTCTAAATTGTGTTTTTATCATTTGTTTAAAAATTAAATATGATTTTAACACTAAAATGGATTTAAACCCTATAAATTGAGTTTTTATTCTTTAATTGAGTTGATAAAGCCTTTAACAAGCTAAATTGTGTTTTTGTCATTATTTAATTAAGTTTCCCATTCTAAAATGTTTTCTGACATTCCTGAATAAGTTTTGAAACATTGTTAAGACTAAAATGGATTTAAACCCTCTAAATTGAGTTTTTATTCTTTAATTGAGTTGATAAAGCCTTTAACAAGCTAAATTGTGTTTTTGTTATTATTTAATTAAGTTTCCCATTCTAAAATGTTTTCTGACATTCCTGAATATGTTTTGAAACATTGTTAATTGAGTTTTTGATTCTAAAAATGTGTTTTGGCATTCTCAAATATGTTTTTAAACAATATAAAGCCTTTAACATTCTAAATTGTGTTTTTGTCATGTTTGGAAGTTTAATAAAATTTTATTGATCACCAAAATGGATTTTAACGTTTTAAATTGTATTTTCATTCTTTAATTAAGTTTCCTATTCTAAAATGTGTTTTGACATTCTAAATCATGTTTTAAATCATTATAAAGCCTTTAACATTCTAAATTGTGTTTTGCAATGGTTTGAAGTTAAATATAATTTTGAAACTAAAATGAATTTTTACGTTTTAAATTGAGTTTCCCATTCTAAAATATGTTTTGCCATTCTTAAATATGTTTTGAAACATTATAAAGCCTGTAACATTCTAAATTGTGTTTTCGACTTTTGTTTGGAAGTTAAATATAATTTTAACTCTAAAATGTATTTTAACCTTCTAAATTGTATTTTCATTTCTTAATTCAGTTTTCCATTCTAAAATGTGTTTTGACATTATTAAATATGCTTCAAAACATTATCAATAACAAGATATAATTTTTTCGACTTTTGTTTGGAAGTTAAATAAGATTTTAACACATAAATGGATTTTCACCTTCTAAATTGTGTTTTCATTCATTAATTCTTATTTTAAAATGTTTTTTGACATTCTTGAATATGTTTCAAAACATTATAAAGCCCATGCTATAAATACTTATTTATCATTATAAAGCCTTAACATTCTAAATTGTTCTATTGTTATTATTTAATTGAGTTTTCCAATCTAAAATGTTTTTGACATTCCTGAATATGCTTGAAACAAGCCTTTAACATTCTTAATTGTATTTTTGCCATTTGTTTGGAAGTTAAATATGATTTTAAGACTGTATTTTAACCTTATGAATTGTGTTTTTGACATTCCTTAACTGAGTTTACCATCGTTGAATATGTTTTGAAACATTATAAGCCTAGTAAAGCTCTTAACATTCTAAATTGTGTTTTTGTCATTTTTTATTTCAGTTTATTCTTAAATGTGTTTTGACGTTCTTGAATAAGTTTTGAACCATTATAATATCATAAATTGTGTTAATCTGCCAAATAAAGTGTTAAACCTAAACTTTAAAAGACCTTGTATATTTGTACAACCTTAAATACTTTACGCAATGCACCACTTAATGCAAAATAATAATAACAATTAAGTATAACAAAATAATAATAGGAATATCACATGGGGCAAACTTCTCGTGCTGTGGATATAAAAAATAAATCTACGCACACCTCAAAAGGATTTATTCATATACGCTACCAATAAACGACAGAAATATGCATTTAGCCCTTTTTTCTGCACACTTCAAACTCACCTCTGCTTGTTTTGTATGAACTTCTTCTGCCTAACGTTTGATTGGCGCTGTGGCACGGCGACATTCCCCTGCTGTCGTCCGGGGAATCTGTAATAGGCAACGCAAAACGCACGGTGAACAAAAAGCGCAACAAATCGACGTAAAACATAAGCCAAAGCGTTAAAAAATAACCCCGTATCGTTTTTTGTTTTTTATGTCAAAAAAAATAAAATAAAACAAACCTTTGTATAAGCTCATGCTTCTATCAGCTAAACTGTCTTGCGACCGTTTAAAATAGTCTCGCCTCATGGTACCTTGAGGGTTGTATGAGTTACGGTCTAAGTAAAAAAAAAATTAAAATAAGCAAAACAAAATTTTTTGAAAGAAAAAACTACAAGAACATACCGGTGAGATTCGATGTAGATCCTTTTTTGCCTCGACTCGACAGTCCTTCAGCAATTTGAACGGAATTACTGTCAATGTGTATAGTTTTAGGTCTCGGTCTTGTACTCGCTTTTGGGCGCATTTTTGGCGTTGGTTTTAGAGACATGAGTTCCGACCTATCCAGAGTTTTACCCTGCAGAAAAAATTTCAATGTAGAATCATAAAACAACATATTTTTTGCATACCATTGACCAATAAATAAAAGACATCGCAGCGCAAATAGATGTCTTCCGCGCGCGTTTAAAAGTAAACATCAACTGCTGAAATTTCCTGGTTAATGTGAACGGCCTTTGTGCTCTTGAAATAGTCGAAAAGCTACTTAAAATAACGCTAATATGCAGCGAGCGCTTTCAACCAGACATCGGTGTGAAGTTATTTCGTATTTAATACGCTTTTAGCAAATAAAAAGAACCTTTTACCGCTTCAAGTGCACCTAAAGACGCGTAAACCTTTATAAAAAAACGGGGGTGCCTCAAAGTCTGGTTTCATGCCCACCACTGGTCGACAAAATGGAGTTTTTTGTATGCTACAGCGGAACTAACAACTTTTCAAGGGTAATTTGGGTGCGCTAGCTGATTCCAAAAATGACCATCATTTTGCTCAACTAGCCTTTGTTTTCAAGAAAATGCGAAAAAAAGTTTTTTTTATATGCAAATTCATAATCGTATAAATATTTTTTAATCCAATACTTTAACCAAGGATCATTGGTCATGTAGCTATGAGTTCTTATTTAACTAAACAAATAAAGTATACACATTCATAAAGTTAGTTCCTTAAAAAATATATATACGAATTTGAATAATTGTCGAACATTATCGAAAAAAAACTCGTTTTTACAGTATTTTGGAAACAAAGGGTAGTTTAGCAAAATTATGGTTAATTTTTGAATTAGCGAATCCAAATTACCCTTAAAAATTTGTTGGCCACCCCATGGCAAAATGGCTGTTGCCCAGTGTTTTTATACATTACTAAATTGTGAAATTTTCATGAAAATTGACTTTTGCATTTTTTCATTTTATTTAAAGGGTAATGGGAAAAATTTGAATTGAAATGGGAATTTTTAAATATCTGTACACTGGTACAAAGAAACAAGTGAATTTTTTACTCATATAATAATAATTATTATTCCTATTATCATAATTCAGTAAGAATCTAATACCAGGTCGCAAAAAAATTCGGTGCTGTATTAATAAAACCAGGGTTCGAAAAAACCATGATTTAAAAAAAAAATAAACAAAAATAACTGGACTATAATAATACTATATTGGCACTACTTTATAAACAAATAAACCACCGTCCGCAACTGTAATATATTTTTTTTGTATATTATTTTATTAAATAAAATTTATTTAACAAAATAGGTAGGCAGTTTTTCTATGCATATGAATTTATTTAAATAGTGCTAAGATATCATTGTGCTTTAGTCTTGGATGTTTTAGGTGTTTTTTTAGATTTTAGAAACTTTTTAAAACTGATTTAAATCATTGAATAAAATAAAAAAATCACTTTATTTAAATCGTTGATTTAAATCGCGATTTTAATCAAATGATTTAAATCAGGCGAACCCTGAATATAACTATTGTTTTATTTAAAACATTGATTTATAAAATTATAATTTTGTAATTTCACTTTAAAAATCATTCATTATTTTGAAATGAATATTTGCAAAATGGACCCAACCGACAGTAAATTTAACGTTTATTTTCTTAAATCAATTCAATTGAATGTTTAGTTTTATTTGTATTTTTTTTTTGTAATAAATTTATTATTCTTAAGGATATTTTATTTAATTAAAAGTATGTTAAGTGGTTAATTGCTTTTAAAAATTAAAAAAAAAATCCATTTTTACCAAAAAAGCAATTTTCCAAGGCCTAAGTAAAAACGGAAAAATCAGTTTTTTTTCGACACTTTAAAACCCTATACTTACCTTACACATCAAATTGTGTCAACAATTTTTTTCTACACGCATAAAAAACTAATTATCTCGTATCTATTTTTGGTTCCGTATTTATAGGTTTTTAATTTCAACCGCTCATTAAAATGTTTTCCTCTAGCGTGCGTTTATTAATAGATTTTCGCTTACCTCTCTTTCGGCCTCGTCGATGGCCTTCTTCAGCTTGTATTGTTCCAAGATGGCCTGCCTTCTCGCCGCTTGCTCTTCCTTTTTCCGCAACTTTTCTTCCTCCTTTTCTTTTTCGCGTTCCCGTCTAATCGCAGCTTCTTGTTCCTTACGTATCCGCGCCTCTTCTTGCTGTTGCTTCCTCTGCATCGACAACATGAGGATTTTCTCTTTCTTCCGTTCCCGCGCATCGATTTCATCCGGGTCCGGATTACTAAGGTCATTTCCTATGACTATGGCAGAAGCAGCTGCCACTTTCTGCCTTTCTTGACTAGCCTCCCTCCTCGCCCTCAATTTTTCGCGTTCCTTCTCTATGAGCGCCTCCTTCCTTCTATCCTCGTCCTCCTTCTTTATCCTCTCCTCGTTCAACTCCCTTTCAAGCTGCCTTATCTTGTCCTTCCTATCTTGGGCCTCCCGCCTCTCGATCGCTTCTTCGGGACTCTCGACGAAACTCCCGTCCTTCTTGGGCGAACCGCGATTCTTCCTCAGCGGCGGCTTCGGTCTCTTGGGTTGCTCGTCGTCGAAGCTGATGTAGAAGCCCTTCTGGTTCGTCGGATCGGCGTCCAGGCCGCTCGCTTCGGCTGCGGCGGCAGCTTCGGGCGCGTCGTTCGGTCGGAACACGTTCCTCGATATCGGGAGTCGCGTGGGCGAGGGGATTCGGTAGGTGCGACTTCCGGAGGTGATGTTGAGCCGGCCGATGCCCTCCCGCAGCTGATCTTCCTCGCAGTTGCCGATGAACGAGATGTTCTGCGGCTCCATGTCGTCCGCGGGCGGCGCGGGAATCGGCGCGTGCGTCACGTTGCTCTTCCTCGGCGTCGCCTCCATCTGCTGGAGGCTGACGGGAGAACGTTTGCTGTCGTCGAGCAGCTGCGAGATTTGCCGGTGCACGCTGCGGTGCTGCGGGCTGGCGGACGGCGTGCTGTGCGAGGTGTTGTAATGCGACCCTGTTAAAAATCACCCATAAAGACCAATAAAAAACCTATTGGGATTTTCCAGCGGTAGCTCTATCGGTTTGAATTGGTCTCAATAGTGGTATCTGTACCATGAATCACCAATTCAAACCAATAGCGACACCGCTGGAAAATCCCAATACAGACCGATAGAAACTAATCGAATTTCCCAATAGAGAATGATGGAGGTGAATTAAATGTTAATAGTAATTCCCAATAGAAGAGCTATTTGGATTTTCCAGAGGTACCGCTATTGGTTTGAATTGGTCCCCACTATTCATTTTAGACGTTTTTAAGGTAAAAAATTACGTGTTTTGATGGTTAAATAATTTCTTAAAAAATAGTGCTGTTTAACATTTAATTTAAATTTTATAAATAGCTTGGGGCACAGGTCGACCTGTGCCCAAGATACATACACCTTAAGATAGGATGGTGCGCATGTTGGGCGGGGCTTAATGACGTCACTTGATGAGTGTTTTTAAATCTTTAACGTGCTTTTTAATTATCTGCTGCTAAAATTCTTGTTTTTGCGATGCTTTTGGATGTTAACTTGCTCTACTTTTTGTTTAACTTGTCGTTTTTGTGTTCGGTAAGGTTCGAATTACTTTTCAGCGTTCAAATTATTGTTATTGCGTTAGGTTAACCTGTTAGGTTTGTTTATTATTGTTTTTGTGTTGCGTTAACTTGTTTTGTTTGTGTTTTAGATTGTATAGTGCCATTTGCATTTATTAAAATGCGGGGTGGCATATTTGGATGCAATTCGGACAACCAGTCCAAGAAAAACCCTTTAAATAAAAACATTAAATTTAATCGATTCCCGAAAAAGTTTGATTTGTGAAAACAGTGTTTAAATGCCACAAAAATAATAGACAATATTTACGTTAAGACCGCTTCTGTTTCCTATAAACATTTTCTGGACAGTGACTATAAGTTTAATTTAAAACACCAACGCTTAAACTACAGCCCTAAATGTTATCAAGGACTGAAAGCATCTATTATCCATATTATAACACTTTCTTCGATATTAAGTTTAATAAAAACGCACTGTCCAGAAATTTCTCTATTTTCTTTGATAATATTTAATAATAATTACTATTATTCGTGTATTCGCACGGCAACTACTCATCAAGTGACGTCATGCGCGGGACGAACCAAAACTCGTACTCGTACTCGTGGGAGCATCCAGCCCTGACCTGTGCCCCTTTAAAAGTTCCAAAACGCCAAGCGTTTCCATGGCCAGTAATTTTGCCTTAGTAAGGAATCCTTACTTAGCAGCTCAAGGCAAAGATAAGATAAGGCATTCCACCTTTATAGGCCTATGTATTGTGCTACAGAGGCGAGAGGTATGCATGGGTTGCCTACCTATTGGCGAATTTTGAAAATAAATATTAAAGTGGTATATACCAATAGGGTTCCTTGTACCTACACACCGATAAAATACCAATTCAGACCATTAGTTTATCTATTGGTATTTTCCAGTAAGAAAATTGCCAATAGAAACAAGTGGTCATTTGTATTAAATTGCGCAGGCGCTGAACATTTAAGTGGTATTTACCAATTGAATTTCAATTGGGAATTTCCTGTACTTGTAACTTCTTATAAAAACCAATTCAGACCATAAGGTAATCTATTGGCATTTTCCAGTACGGATATTACCAATAGAAACCAATGCTCATTCTGTTGAGAAACCAATAGGCCCAATAAAGACCAATTCACTCCATTCTGATTTTTTATTGGTTTCTATTGGTCTCTATGGGTGATTTTTAACAGGGGACGTGTTACCTTGGTTTTGCAGGTGCTGCTGGCTCAAGGTGAAGGAATTCGAGTGGTGCAACTGCCGATCATCCGAGCCGTTCTGGTACTTGTTGTCGCCGTATTGATCTGGATACCGCGGCGAGTTATCGAACCTATCCTGGTTGTCGTGCAAGACGAACCCGCCGCGTTCGCTACCGGCGATTTGCTGATGCTGCGGCTTTCCCCAGGTCCTCAACTCGACTTGTTGGGGCGGCGCTTGGGGTTGTTGCGCCCAGGTTCTCCTCTGCGGCACCGGTGGCGGTGTTGGCGACGACATTTGTACGCCGCCGCCGTGCAGGAAGAATTGCCCTGGACTTTGAGCTACTGGTGGAGGCGGTTGGTGGTAGGTTTGAGGTATGTGCGGAGCGCTGGCGGACGCTTGCAGTGGAGGAGCGAATACTGATAAAGATAGGTGTTAAATGATTTCAGTTTTTAGCGAAAATCGACATAAGTAAGAGGGGGACGCGAAAACTTAGAGGAGATCATACTTGATTGTATGTTCATTAGGGTGTTGTTTTTTTTCTTTCGTAAAAATGAGCTCTTAATTTTAAAAACTTAATGCTCCGCATCGCACTTTTCGATTTTCCATAAGAATAATATGGGAATTTTTTTTGTTCCTTCTGATTTTTGTAACTAACAACACAACATACAGAAAATGTGTTTGGATATTTTTGTAGAGAATTAAACGCCTCCAAATTTTTTTATTAATTGATTTTGAATACCTATGAATAACTTTTTTTAATTATTTTCCCGATAAAAATATTTGTTTTTGCACTCAGTTTTTAAAACAATGTTTTTGTCACTAGATGGCGTTAGGGCTGGTTTATAATGGCATTAATCTTATTCTTTACTCTGCAATCTATATTCTATATTCTGTACAATTTATAGGTCCGGTTTATAATCAAGTTCAAAAATTGATATTTTGACATATGTTGACTGTCATGAAATGTACGGAACCTATAAACAAAATATAAAATACAAATTTATGCACGATGACATTATAATATGACAATTATAACAAACATTCTTTGACGTAAACGTCTTTTTATAGCCCGCGGGCGTTATTAAGACCCAGCGGGCTATAATGAAACGTCAAAAATTAAAAACAACAATGTTACACCATTTGATATATTCGAAGTAAGTTTTTTCGTATAAAGATTTTGATTTTTCCGGCAGCAGGCCGCAATTTTTCGCCTTTTCAGCTGCTTCCTCAATTTCATTCATCTTTAATATTATATATTATTATATATTATTATATATTATAATATGACAATTATAACAAAAATTCTTTAACGTAGACGTCTTTAAAAACAATAATATATTAAAAATAATAATATATTAATCGTGCATTAAGTTTTGTATGCATTGCTGGCCCTTAATACATAAATAACTATTATGTTAATTTAATTAATAGTATATTATTATACGAGAGATAATGCAGGCTATTATTCACAAGGAAGTGGTTTGCGTTTGGAGCCGTCAGGCGAGAGACGTAAATCATCCGAGTGAATAATCCGCATTATTTCGAGTGTAATACTATGCTTTTTGCCCCTAGTATATATAAAAAAAATATGATCTGTTAACCTTACTTTTTTTCCAATTTAAAACCGGATTGGTTTAAATAACAGTGAATACGAAAAAACCCAAATAAAGTCAATAATATTCAATAGGAGTAGAAAAAAATAATTAAAAACAATATTTAAACAATTGTTTTTATTTGAAAGGAAAGGTGGGTAATATTTGGTTTTTGAATTATAATTATAATTATAATTATAATAATTATTTAATTCTATTTTCAGAAATATTTTATACGATTAAGGAAACTTTTCTACCAGGCTAATTAATTTGATATCCATGCTTGTGCTTGTGCTTTTGCTATTAAAATTATTATTATTATTATTATTATTATTAAATACGCACAGAAGATAAATATTTTTTACATCTTCAATTTTTTATTGGTAAAATTTGAAAACAATTGCTCAACTTATATTAAAAATCAATTAATAAAAAATGTTGGTGGCATATTGAGTTATCAAATACTGAAATTTCAAGCAGCAAAGTTAAATATGTTCATAATAAAAATGAAATAAAAAAAAAATTATGGTATTATTTTAGTAGTGTTCTGTTAACATTTGTAAATAAAAAAAATTGGTTAAAAACGCTTGTAATGTGATATTTATGTTCCGCATGAAATTTTGTGCTCAATTTTTTAATAAAACTGAGTATTTCCGCTTCGATACCGAAAAATCGGCAAAATTGATGGTGAGTTGAACTTTGATCTTCAATAACTTTTTAACCAATTGGTTTAGCAAAAAATTACACATTTTTTGTATGACCTTTGGTTGGTGAGTTACAAAAATCAGAAGGAACAAAACAAATTTTCACATGTTATTCTTATGGAATTCTTATTAAGATATTAAAATAAAAACTTTTAAGCCTGTTTGCAAGAAAAAAAATAATTTTCCTTTTTTTTAAACACCAATTAGTGTCTGTGTGTGCATAAGTAGAGAGATTGTCTATTTCTTTGGAACCTCCTTGACATAGGCATCAAATGAAAGGGTTTAACAGTCGAAAACCCCATGCATACATTTTTTAATTACTCAAAAGAAGTACAACTCCTAAGACGCGTACATAAATACATGCACCGTTTTTTAAAGACTTCTTTCTTACCTTGTTGAGGTGGATACATTTGCGGACTGTAAGGGGGCGTGGCGTTGTATTGCATCTGTTGCTGATATTGCTGGTGTTGCTGTTGAAGCGCCTGTATCTGCCGTTGCTGTTGCGCCAGCAAATTTTGCTGCTGCGCCACTTGCATCGCTTGATTGTGTTGCGACGCCAATCGCTGCATGTCAGAATTTATTTCGTGTAGACTAGAATTCATTCTAAAACGGGAAATCGTTCGTTTTATAACCTAGAGCGAAGATTAATAATAAGATAATGACTTACTGAGCCAACGACTGCTGATAAGTTTCCATATCCATGTTGTCCAAGTCGGGGGTGCGTCTCGGTTCGGCGAAAGCTTTACTTTCGTCAAGCCACTTTCTTTCAATTGTTGATATGTCATCTACACCCTCCTAACAAAATAATTTTCCACTTTTACACACAGTTTTAAGGCGAAATAAAGCCATAACCTTAAAATATTAGCTTGTAAATCTAGCACAACAATAGTTAAATCTAGGTAAATGCAAACGTTCATACAACTGAATAATCAAAAAATAAATGCAAGGCAAAATAATTCTACGGTTTAAAACTAGAGTGGTTATATTTTACCTCAAATAAACCTTACCCGAAACCAACATTGAGGTAACCTATAACTCACCTAAATTATGTACTACAATATATGCAAAATATACACTCTACCTCACCAACAATAAAAAATTGTAAAAGTATTATTTATATACATAGTGGATCAGTTGTATAAGTACGTCCCATAGGAGAATACAGGGTGGCCAAAATAATAAACCCTCTTTTTATTTTATTACTATTTGGACCAACTTTGGCATAGTGTCAAATTTGTCGGTGTTCCAAATTACGGTTTGGAAATAAAAGAAGGGGCCAATAATTCGCGCCACCCTTGTTGTACAGCGAAAATTGATAAAACGTGTAAAGTAAATTTCTACCTGCAACGTAAACGGCCTGAGAGGTTTTTTAGGTGTCGAACTTCCCGATGTGGGACTACGTGCTTTCGACGATAAAACATCGGCTTCGGACGCCGATTTTAATAAACTACCTTTACCCTGAAAGTTGGTTAAAAAGAAAAATTGTGAGGAGGCCATCACCACTTTAAAAGTGAGTTCCTTATATAGGTAGTTTAGTGCAAAAATGAGTTTTAGATGAAATATTTATAAATGGTTTATAGTAGAAAGTCTAGTTAGTAGGTAGCTAGTTATTGTATTTTATTTGAGCGTTGTGCATGGCTAGAAATAAAATAGAATACCTCTACTACATAGAACATGCAAACAACAACAATAATGAAAAAAATTAATAAAAACAGTTTATTATTCAACTGTTTTTTAACTACTGTCCATAGCCCTTACCAATTCAGTCAGCTAAAAGGAACATTCAATTAGGGGAAGGCACACACAGTAGGTAATTTGTACACTTATTACAGAAATAATGACTTTCCCAATGGACATCCAAAAGCTCGTGAAGATGCATGATCATTGTACACTTGTGAGCAAAAGTTTTGCAAATGTTTACTTTTGAAAATAGTTTTTTTCATTAATAATGGAGTGCCACAAGGGTCCGTATTATGGCCCTTATTGTTCATCAACGTTGCAAATAACTTTCCACATATAAAACTTAAAAAAAGTAAAAATGTGGCAATCTGTTGCAAATTTTTGCCTTTAAAAATTGTTCTTTTAAAATTCATAATGAAGTGCCACAAGGATCAGTAGTAGGGCCCTTGTAGTTCATCAACATTCGCTTCCCCCCCATAAAACTTAAAAATTATTTTTTTTACATTTATAATGGAATGCCACAAGGATTTGTATGGACCTCATAGTTTATCAACATTGCAAATAACTTTCCACGCATAACTTGGTAAAAAAAGTAAAAATGTGTCAAAATTTAGCATATTTTTACCTTTGAAAATTGTTCTTTTAAAATTTATAATGGAGTGCCTCAAGGATCCGTATTGGGGACCTTTTAGTTCATCAACATTGTAAATGACTTCGCACGCATAAAACTTGGTAAAAAAAGTAAAAATGTGTGAAACTTTTGTATACTTTTACCTTTTGAAAATTGTTCTTTTAAAATTTATAATGGAGTACCACAAGGATCTGTATTGGGGACCTTATAGTTCATCAACATTGTAAATGACTTTCTATGTATAAAATTACTTTTGAAAATTGTTTTTTTTTTAATTTTTAAAGGATCCGTATTGGGAAACTTATAACTCATCAACATTGTAAGTGACTTTCAACGCATAAAACTTAGTAAAAAAAATAAAAATGTAAAAAACTTTTGCATATTTTTACATTTAAAAGTTGTTCTTTTAAAAATCATAATGGAGTACCACAAGAATCCGTGTTAAGGCCCTTATTGTTCATCATCATTGTAAATGACTTCGCACGCATAAAACTTAGTAAAAAAAAGTAAAAATGTGAAAGACTTTGGCATACTTTTACCTTTTGAAAATTGTTCTTTTAAAATTTATAATTGAGTGCCACAAGGATCGGTATTAGGGCCCTTATAGTTGATCAACATTGTAAACAACTTTCAGCGCATAAAAAAGTAAAAATCTGATAAACTTTTGCTCACATATTAACGTTTAAAAATCCGTCGACTTACCTTTGCCACAGCCTGCAAAAACGCCGCCTTGCCGACTTTTTCGCGCTGCTTGCTCATGGCCAACTCCATGCGGCGTTTCTCGCTCTCGATGTGCCTCCGTTTCTCCTCCAACTTCATCCTGATATCGCTCAGTTGCATCGAGTTGTTGGCGTTGTTGCCGCTCGTTTCGTCGCCGTTGCTTTCCGCGTGCTGCTGACTGTGCGAGCTTTGCTGTTGCCACGTCGTCGTGTTCGGCAACGTCGCGAACGTCGTCTTCTTTTCCGAATTTCCGTTCGTGTTGCTGAGTTTGCTGAGAAAACTCGATTTCGCCGGTATTTCCTCCTTATCGTTCATGTAGACCAACTGTATACCCCGATTTTCGCCGAACATTTTTTGTTTGTTTAAATCCGCGAAACTCATCCTATTATTCAACTCGCCATCGATGGCATCCTTGATTATATTTTCCTTGTTGGCAGTTCTGTTCTTGAGGGAGATGCTTTCGCTACTCAATTGTCTTTTCAGGCTCGTTATTTTTTCCGTGCCGTTGTCCTGTTTCTCACAGCCGTTTTCCGTGCCATAACCTAATTGTATCGAACCTCTGGCATCCTGCAGCGATGATCTCACAGCAGGATTTTCAATCGCCACAGGAAACGACGGTGCCGAAATTTTTCTACCTACGTGAACAGCCACCTGAAAACAAAACACTTTGTTTTTTGATTCAAGACATCTATAAGACTCACCTCTTTGTCCGGATTCCTCCCAATAAAGTTTAAATTATCCTGACTGCCGCCGAAATTCTCGATGGTCAATTGCGAGTCGTCGGTCATGGAATTCCTCCTGCTCCTCCTGCCGGCAAAACTGCTTTTCCTGGTGTCCTCCCAGTTGCTCGGTCTTCCGGCGGCAATTTCGCCGCGTTCGTCGGCTTTGCTGTCCGAATTTTGCCGCTCCTTGTTCACTTTCAATCGCGCCGGCACGAGGGGTTCATCGTAAACCACGGAACGCAGGGTGGGTATGTTTTTGCCCCTGTGCACCACGAAGGAATCCTCCGAGCCCCTGCGAAGGCTGTCCTCGCTCAATTCCGACATGCTTTGCTGAAGGGAGTTCGTTTTCCTTATCGGCTGATGGGTGGGGGTCGACCTCGACACTAAACACATTTAACAAGCTAGTTTTATGGCTTTAATAAGGTTTTTAAAGTGCGCAGGCGTGAACTTAAGTGAACTTACCCGAAAAACGCATGCTTAACATCTTAAAATATCGTTTTATAGCAGTTTATAAAAGAAAAAATGATGGGTTAGTAAAAGTAATGTAAATGGGTTAGGTGACCCTAAAACTTTTATAATGCAATCACAATCGACACAACAAGGTCTGTTCTATATCATGCTAAAAATACTAAAAATCACTGCAACACTGCACAGAGTTTAACGGCGGCAATATTTGTTGTTTACAATTCTTGTGCTTTGGGTTTGTGCTGAGGAATAATTGTTTTAAACGTTGTGTTTCTTACAGAGGCACTTGTAAGCCTAAAATAAGGCCTTTAAGTGCTAAGGACAACCATTTTACTCCTCTTTTATAATAAATGTACCTTATCCTATCAGGGCAGTCAAATGACAATTTGAAGGTTAATTTGTGGGTTATAATTTAACCTTAAAATTGACATTTGACAGTTTTATGACAGCCCTGATAGAATAAAGTTTATTTTTTACAATAGAGGAGTAAAATTGTTGTTCTTAGTACTTTAAGGACTCTTTTAAGGCTTACTATGAGAAACACAACGTTTAAAACGATTATTAATCTGTATAAACAGAGCACAAACCCAAAGCACAAAAATTGTAAACTACAAAAATGGCCGCCGTTAAACTGTGCAGTGTTGCAGTGATTTTTTGTATTTTTAGTACGAGATAAAATACTAAATATAGTTGCAACACTGCACAATTTAACAGCGGACATTTTTGTTGTTTAAAATTCTTGTGCTTTGGCCCAAAGCCTTTGGGTTTATGCTGTTTATACAGATTAATAATCGTTTTAAACGTTGTGTTTCTTACAGAGGCACTTGTAAGCCTTAAAAAGGGCAACCATTTTACTCAACTTTTGTAAAAATTAAACCTTATTCTATCAGGGCTGTCATCAAACTGTCAAATGTCAATTTTAAGGTTAATTTACCATAACCCACAAATTAACCTTAACAGCTGTTAACCCACTAGTGGGTTATGTTAAATTAAGCTTAAAATTGACATTTGACAGTTTCTTGACAGCCCTTAAAGAATAACGTTTATTATTTACAAAAGATGAGTAAAATGGTTGTTCTTAGCACTGTGTAAGAAACACAGCGTTTAAAACGATTATTATTCTGTATAAACAGAGCTCAAACTCAAAGCACGAGAATTTTAAACAACAAAAATGGCCGCCGTTAAACTCTGTGCAGTGTTGCAGTGAATTTTAGTATGCGCGAAACGAGATAAAAACAGACCTTGTTGTGTGGATTGTGATGTTTTCTAAATATATTGAGAACGGAAAATGTTTTCTAAATATATTGAGAACGGAAAATATATTGAGAACGGAAAATGCATCCATGCAGTGAATATACCAAATAAACCTCCTACTCAACTTAAATCTATTAATAATATTATTCATGCATTGTATCTTCAACTAAACCATGCAGAAAACTGCAGAAAGAAAAATAGATTAATAAGCCCAGTTCAGACATGTTGTTATATTAAAGTGCCAATTCGCATATGTTTTATGAACCAAAATTTGTATGTTTGAACTGATCCTCTTATCAATTATAAACTTAAGGTGATCAATGTCCTTCTATTTATGGATGCTGTCTACTTAAACACACGTGAGATGGACGACCCCAAAAACTAACACCCAAAAACGTTTCAAATGTTTCAAAAAAGAAGTATGACATACTTCATCTTAAAACACATGCCGCAAGGGTCAGTCTTGGGGCCGTTGATGTTCGACCTCGTCGCAGAGATCGTGGGTTACCTTGGAAAGCAGTGGCGGCGGCTACATCGTCAAGGCCACTGCGCAGGTCCGGAATCGGAGTTACGACCGGCTGCATTAGGTTGCGCTTGTGCACCACCCCGTGTTCGTTCGAAGGCGGTAGACCCTCTACAATTGTTGGTTCTTAGATTTTAGACAGGCTACTAACTACTTTCACTAATTGTTTTTACATTTTTTTTAATGTTAGATTACGTTTTTATACAGCTGGTAGTTACTTTAGATGTTATTTTTGTTATATTACTAAAGAAATTCTTCTGGTAATGCAAAATGTCAAATTTGGACGGTTTGACATTCACGTTTAAACCAGGAACTGTGGTTTTGATCTTTTTGAATAAATTTATAAAACAGCAAAACTTTGAACTCAGTTCCTCGTTTAAAAATGTTGTCCACAGAAAAGTTTCTTGACAGAAATTGTTTTAATATTTTACCAAATACAAGACAGAGTCTTACCAAAATAATACCACCACCACATCCTTACATATTCACCAGAAGCAAAAGAAAGATAAAAAAGCAAAACTAAAAACACAATAAATACAAGAAAGGAAACTAAAATCTTTCCCCTGGACACATCCTTATAGACTGAGGACTCCAGTCGAACTTAGTGTGGTTTATGCAAATTGTATACGGCAAAATCCGATATTTACTGACCCAGTGTGGTTGAAACGGGTCAGACGCGGTCAAATCGGGGTACATCGAAAAAAATAAACACTTTCGCTTGCAAATTTATTTCAGTTTAGTTCGAACATTTCGCGTGTCTGATTTAAGATAAGAAGTCGTTCATACATGACAAGTATATTTGTACGTTTAATTGCAAAACAAATAGTGTATTGAATGTTGGACAAAACAAGGCAAATTGTGTTTAGAACGCAACGCAAAAAACAAAGCCACGTCGAAACGTAAACGCAATTTTTTTGAACTTACCGCCGGAATGTTTATCCATGCCAGGATACCTCACACATTTCGCGGGATGTATTTCCATAACATTGAACAAATCCGCCATGAACACCATGAGATTTTGCCGCATCGAACTAAAACAAACAAACATTATCTCGTCGCCAATTGAATTGATAAGGCGAATATTTGTGGAATTTCAGACGATGCTCTTACTCGGTCATGTAGGTGATGTCCTCGGGCATCAGATGGAATATCGAAGCGGGCAGGCATTTCTCGCAGAAGTCCTGCACCAAACCGAGGTTATAGAAGCAATCCTGCACCGAGGTTTGGTAGGAAATTTTCAGATCGGTCCAAGGTAGATCGTCGGGGCAGTAGTAGGATATTAGGGCGGCCAAACCGACACCGTCACAAAGATCTTTCAAGACTTTGATGGGGGGAAAATTTGGAGACCTATGTCTGTCACCCTAAAAGACAATCAGAGATATGACTCTTACTCAATGTGGTAACACCACAAGATACATTAAGATAGGATGGTGCGCATGTTGGGCAGGGCTTAAATACGTCACTTGTTCAGTATTTTTAAATCTTTAACGTGCGTTTTAATTATCTGCTGCTAAAATTCTTGTTTTTGTAATGCTGTTGTATGTTAACTTGCTCTATTTTTTTGTTTAACTTGTTGTTTTGCGTTCGGTAAGGTTCGAATTACTTTTCAGTGTTTAAATTATTGTTATTGCGTTGTGTTAACCTGTTCAGTTTGTTTATTATTTTGTGTTGCGTTAACTTGTTTGTGTTTTAGTTTGTGTAGGGTCATTTGCATTTATTAAAATGCGGTGTGGCATATTTGGATGCAATTCGGACAACCAGTCCAAGAAAAACCCTTTAAATAAAAACATTAAATTTCATCGATTCCCGAAAAACTTTGATTTGTGCAAACAGTGGTTAAATGCCACAAAAAGAATAGACAATATTAACGTTAAGACCGTTTCTCTAAACATTTTCTGGACAGTGACTATAAGTTTAATTTAAAACACCTACCTACTCTTAACCCTTATGCAGGCGCACCTCTAGTTAAGATGAGCTGAGAGACAATGAGAACATATTTCGTTGCGTTCAAATTTGATAAAAGACGACAAAAAAAAGAAAAAGTCAAAAGACGACAATTTTAATCAAATAAAGCATTTATTAAAAAAAAAACAAATTTTAAAAGTCATAATAATAATAAAAACAAAAAACACTAAGCACTTAAGATAAGGTTTACTTTTACAAGTAATTATGATTTGGTAAAAAAAAGTCAATAGGGAGGCGAAACCCAGCCTGCTCACGGGGTGTCCACAGCACCCAGAGCCTGTTTAAAACAAAATACCAGACAACCTATTACATTAACTTCAAAATCGGCAATGTAATATGACTGAGAATACTTTGACAGGAAGGTACTGAAAGTAAGCGCCATTTATTCGAATCGAAGTGAGACCGGTAGCTATATTTAGAAAGCTGGGGTGTTTTGTACACCCCGCGTGCCTGCTTAAGGGTTAAACAACAGCCCTATCTATTATCCATATTATAACACTTTTTTTAATATTAAGTTTAATAAAAACGCACTTTGTTCAGATATTTCTCTATTTTCTTTGATAATATTACTATTATTCGTGTATTCGCACGGCAACTACTCATCAAGTGACGTCATGCGCGGCACGAACCAAAACTCGTCCACGGGAGCATCCAGCCCTGGTAATACCACAAGCACAAACAAAACTGTTTTAAAATTTAAATATAGTCTTTTTCCTGAAATTCAGAGAGATATTGTCACTTACATCTCCGTTTGGCGTGCCTTCCTCCTGCTCTATCCGTCTCCTCAGGGCATCGCAGGCGTGGGATACCCACGCCAAAAGTCCTTGCTCCTGATTATCGGGAACAGCAGCGGGTTGATTCCTGCCGTGGCTGAATCTCTGCACAGCCGCAGCAACTCGCTCCTGGGTTATCACTTCTTTAGCGTATTGCTGCATTATCATTTCCACTACCGCCATGTGAGCGCTCTGAAAAGTTATATAACACGTGTCACGTCACGTCATGATTTTTTAAATTTAAAATAAAAAAATTTGCCTTTCGATGATTTCGGGGTGTAACTGAAACGCCAAACTTCAGTAACATGATGAAACAAAACTAAAAAAATGTAAAAGAAATCCTTTTTTTTTAATTTTTGGACATGTCAAAATTACTCCTGAATTGGTAGGAGCCATGAGGTATAGTTTAAATATGAACAAAAATGTATTTCACTAAAACAAATTTTGTAAAGACATTTTTAGAGTCAAAAAGAAGTTTTCCAGGCCAAGTACTCTAGTACTTTTACTCGTTTTTCAATTACGAGTAAAAAAGTACGAATACTTTTTTAATCATAAGTATTTTTCATTTGAAATACTTATTACTCGTAGAAAATACTTACAAACCAACATGATAAAACAAATCTAAAAAAATGTGTCCAAAAATCCTTTTTTTTTTAATTTTTGGACATGTCAAAATTACTCCTGAATTGGTAGGAGCCAGAAGGTATTGTTTAAATATGAACAAAAATGTATTTCACTAAAACAAATTTTGTCAAGACATTTTTAGAGTCAAATAGAAGTTTTCCAGGCCAAGTACTCTATTACTTTTACTCGTATTTCAATTACGAGTAAAAAAGTACAGTTTTTATTAGGTTTAAATTTACAGGTGTGAAATTGTCAATTATATTAACTAACATTTTTGTGTTTTCAAAATTACTACTCCTACCCGTTACCTCTCTTTACAAATGTACTTATGAGTAAAGTACTTACGAGTAAATATTTTACTACTCGTACTTAAAATTTTACGAATACTTTTTTAATACTCGTGCGCAGCTCTGCATACAAGGTGTGTTCAGAAAATAACGGGAATTGTTAAATTTCGCGGGTTTGGAGGGTCCGGTTGTTATAAAATTCTTTTTTATGTTGGTACACATGCCCCCGAAGTATGATAAAAACTTTAGCTGTTTTCATCGTTTACTTTGTCTGTGGCAGCCGCTAAGGTTAGACGTGTTTTATGAGCTCGGCGATTTTCGTTCGTTAAAAGAAATGGATCAAAGAAATTTGTATCCAATTTTGCTTAAAAAATGAAATAAATTTAGTTTTGGGTATGAAACGCGTGGCAGCAAAATTTGTTCCAAAATTGTTAAATTTTGAACAAAATTTTTGACCAAAAACAATACTGGAATGATGCCCCAGCCTCCATATTCGCCAGACATGCCTCTGTCTGACTTTTTCCTATTCCCAAAAATAAAGAGAACCTTAAAGGGCCGTCGTTTTGCAAGCATAGATGACATTAAAAGCGCATCGCTGAAAGAATTAAAGGCTATCCCAAAGATTCAGTTTTAGAAGTGTTTCGAGTATTGGAAGAAGAGCTGGCACATGTGCATAATATCCAATGGGGACTATTTTGAAGGCGACAACATTAATGTAGACGAATAAATAAATATTTTCTGAACATACCTCGTACATCACGTCAGTGACGTTTGGCCAATAATTTTAGTCACACCCTCTATAAACAAAAGTAAACAATATTTTTACCATTCGCAGTGGGTTTGTTTGTATGAGGATGGTTTCGGTGAGCTGGGCCCCGGGCGGCATGTTCACACCCTTCCTAGTTAAGGTCGATATAATGGCACCGTGGTTTAAATTGTGATAGTTGGGGTCGGAATAAATGTTTCCCAGGGCCATGCAGTAAATTTCGGCGTTGGCCAGCGCGCCCACTATCTGCGGTTTCAGGTGTTCTTGATTCTGAAACATAAGAAATCAATATGACGGGGCTCATAGAGGAACCCTGTGGCATACCTCATGATCCCGATAGAAGGGCTCGCGGAGGTTTTCAGGAACTTTGTTGTTGAAGGCTTTCGACAGAAGCCATTTCATGGATGCCCTTTGTTTCGCCTGAAACAACAAATAAACCAATTAAAAACACTTGACCTCAGTAATGGAATAAGTCAAGAATTGCAATGATTGCTGCTGAAGTATGTAATTTAAAAGATGGAATGCGGCAGCTTCTTTTATTATTGCAATTACGAAAAACGCTACATGAATGCTTTCCATCAGTAGTTACACGCAATAAAATTGTTCGTGAGGAAAAATTGAGCTTAAATAAAATAGGAAGGCGTTTTACGTTCTTGACCGACTTCGGGCAAAGTATTTTCGGCCTTATTATGCATAATCGTTTTTTAATAAAATTATTATGCATACTCTTATCTAGATAACGATTTGTTCGAAATATTCGACTAATAGACTGCATACAAGAGGCAATTAGGTTTATGTCGTAATTACAGCAAGAATCTCCTAATTAATCCCTTGCGGTCATTGGCTATGTTTTATTTTGATTCCGTGTTATTTTACTCGGCTCTGCGAGTGCCAAAGGCGTTATTTTACATACCTTAAATTCTTCTGGCAACCATATAATTTAAGAAAATTTAGAAAATACAATTTTGTTTAAATATAATTTTTAAAGTAAGACTTTTTGTGAAACATTAAAAACCACGTGAATCTTGATAGTTTTGTCATTTACTCCATATCCATGAAATTAACAAAATCTTATAAGGGGTTTTTTATTAAGAGGGATACAGTGGCGGCTGGCGGATTTTGGGTATACCGATATCTCAATTATTAGATATGGGACCCACACCAAATTTATATGAGTTTATAATGACATTAAATATAAACAAGTTCTGCGCAAGCAGAATTTAAATTGAAGTTTAAATTTAAAAAATCCAAATTATACAGATTTTATACCATTTTAAGTTTTTAATATTTCTTTTCAAAAAAATTATAAAAATTTAAAATGATATAAAATTTTGCCCCTTGGAAGATGGCACTCAACTTCATAACGCAGCACCAAACATTGTAAAATCGATTTTGGTTTGAATAAAAAAAATTAAAAGGTAAACATCGTCCTTTGAATACAATTGAGTGCTAAATTAGTAAAATTCCAAATTAACTTCGCTTCTCCCAGAAAAGTTTATTTCATTTTTAAGGCCTCTTCACTCTGGCATTTCTCCAACTGGAGCAATATTCAGACAAATCTGACGTTTATATTCCTTCGGAAAATTTTATTGCGGCAAATATTACTACTTGCTATTTAAGGTGACCCATTATTTCTATGATGAATTAAAAAACAATTTTTATTTGCATAATTCATTTTTCCATTCCATAATAAAATTGCCACCTACCCGCATTAACCCACAATGTGAAGGTCATCTATGTGGGTTAGAAATTTACATGATTTTCAATGTGCAAAATAGTTATAATTTGATAAAAACATAGTGGTAAATAAACATTTTTTTCTGAAGGATACAAAGTATCAAAGCTTAAATTAATAAGAAAATCGTGAGTATTTCCTAATTATCTATAAAGAGATAATTTACGCAAGAATGTGTGTAAAGGCAAACATAAATAATACCAGAAAAGGAATTGTGTACAAATGATATTCAGGTTAATCGTCATATTGATTGTTTACAATAAATGTATGAAAGTAATTATATTTATAAATATAATTAACGTCAATCTGGTAGTTATTTCCATTTTAGAGTATTACCTAGTCTAAAGTTTTTTTTTAATATAGTGAAATAAATATCTTAATTGTATATCAAATCACAAACACAGCAAGATCCAATATTTTTAGCTCCAAATTCACATTTACATTTATTAAAATACAATTTTAGTCCAGTTAAAATAATTAATTAAAAATATTATACGCATGCTGGGTTTGGAATTAGTCCCTTGAAATATTAAAAAGTTCATATTAATTATGTACAACATAAAATCCTCAAATTTAATATTAATAATACTCAAATAAATTTTGTAAAAAACAACGTAATAGAGATTGGGAACTCAAAAAAAAAAAATTTCAATACGGTTTTTTATATGAACCTCTTTATCTTTGTTGGTTTATATTTTTCTTAAAAATGTTTAGCACAAAAATTGAGTTCCAAAAAACTTAATTTTTTGAAACCCGACCATAAATGACGAAGGTTTGGGTAAAAACAAAAAAGTCGATAATTCAAAAAAAGTAGAAACACCCTGTATACACCAATCGCTAAAAACCTTAAAGCTTAAGTGCATACATAACAAAAGTATGTGTTTGTAAAAAGTCTCCTTCAAATAAAAATATATTTGTTTGTCTTATTTCATAAAGCATTTACCCAAGAGTAAAATAACTCATTTCAGCTTGTCTTAATTTTGCTTGCCATTATCTAAGATTGTCGTTATTTTAGCTAGTCTTTATTTACATAAGATTGGCATTATTTTAGCTTGTCCTTATTTAAGCTTGTTTTCATTTAACATCGTCATTATTTTAGCTTGTCTTCATTTTGCTTGCCAATATTTAAGTTTTTCGTCATTTTAGCTTGTCATATTTAAGATCTTCATCATTTTAGCTTGTCCTTATTTAAGATCGTCATCATTTTAGCTTGTCTTTATTTAAGATCGTCATCAATTTAGCATGTCTTCATTTTGCTTGTCATTATTTAAGATTGTCGTTATTTTAGATTGTCTTCATTTAAGATCGTCATTATTTTAGCTTGTCTTCACTAAATATCGTCATCATTTTAGCCTATCTTCATTTTACTTCCCCTTATTTTAGATTGTCTCCATTTAAGATCGTCATCATTTTAGCTTGTCTTTATTTTAGATTGTCATCCTTTTAACTTCTCCCAAAAACAAAATCTTGAATGAAAAATATTTATTTGCTAAGTAGAAACACCTATCTTTAAAAACCATAAAGCTCAAGTAATAATAAATAACAAAAGTATGTGTTTGTAGAAAGTATACCTTCAAATAAAAATATGTTTGTTCGTCTTATTTCATAAAGCATTTATCCAAGAGTGAAAGAACTTTTCCCGTTGCACACAAACTATTTTTAACACCATTTCCGCGTGCGAATTTTTTCAAAAAACATTAATCTATCTCAATAATGAAATCTTGATTAGTTTTTTAATTGTAACAGCATGCGTTAGCTATTGGTTACACCGAGTAACTTACACGCTTGTCTGAAGTAAAATAAATTCAATGCATTTCGTTTTTATTATTTGGAATTTTTTTCAGATGGAATAAAGTAAAGTAAAGCCTCAAAACAATGGAAATAAATAATTTGATTTGTAAGGCTTTCCATAAATACATAATTTGAATATAATTGTCATTGTAATTTACTACAATATGTGACCTATTTAATTAAGATTTTTAATAAATACGTATTGCCACATATTGTATTGTCTTTATATGGATGAAAGTTTATGTACAGGCTCATGCACAATTAAGAAGGGATTAAAAATAGTGTTATCACCTAATAAATTAAATTATTAAATGCCTTACTAAGCTTTTAAGTGAATACACTTAACTGGCTTGTAAAATTGATTAGGTATTAACATTAAATTATATTCTATAAATACTGCTTTAATTAATTAATTTTGTTCACAAATATTAACATCGTATCTCGATTTTTTTTACTCGTCTTTTTAAATCAAACTTTTTTTTGAGAAATTTGATCAAAACACTTTTTTATAGAATTTCTGAAAAAAGGATGATAATAATAAACCTCCAAAATATCCCTTAAATTAATTAAAAAATAAGAAACACCAGAAGTCAGACCCCTCATTTACAAGGTTGATAATAATAAAGCTTTAATTGCAACTATTATTGTTTATTAATAATATTATTAATTAATTATTATGTCTATGTGTAAAAACTTTATTTTAAATACATACTTATGTTGAAAATTATTATACAAACTTTTTATTTATACTTTATTATCTTATCTATTTTAAAAGTTCTATAGAACGAAATTACCAAATTATTATTATAGCATTATTATGTAATTAATTACTTATTTCATAAGGGATGTTGCGCTAAAAGGTTTATTATGGTATAAAAGTTATCATAAAAATGATCACCCAGTATATTATTTTTACAAAATTTATTTAATCAATGGCATTTTTTTGGAAAAAGCTGTGTTAAAAATTATTTTTTTTAATCCCCCCTTTAAGTGACATTTTAAATACACATTGACAAGTTGTGGCTTTATGTCATTTTAGTCACGGGCTGAAGTTAGTTGACAGTTGCCAAATGTCATACAATCGTTAAAATAAAGTGCCCTTTTTGTAAAATAACATTGTACTGACGTTTTAATTTCGCCGACAGTAAACTATATTTAACTTAATTTCGGAGTGCCACTAAAACATTTTGAAAAACTGATTTTTTATAGGATTAAACGCTCCGTTTTCAAAGGATACATTTCGATGTACACATAAAAATTTGAAATTTGACATTATTACACATTCTCAAGTTACTCTATTGTTTTATAGATGTCGCTCTATACAAATATTTTATGATTTAATTTAAATCATTTTTAGATAATAATAGTAGTAAAAAGTATTTGTCGTAGAAAAAGTATGGCATGCAACTCGTTTATAAACTTTTCTAGACTCTCATTTGATTAAGCAAATTAGTGTATAAAATGGCGTTTATCAAACTTGATACCTAATGTAATATTATATGTATAAAAATTGTTTTAATAAACAATTTTTTTTTTTTAATTCTAACACCCTGTACCTCAAAAACTATTGAACTCTCTATAAATGTTTATGAAACCAAAAGTTAATAATATGATTTTCATGAAATCTATCTCTGAATAAATTGTAGACATTTTGGTTCACTATTTTATATTTTAAATGTGTTCCTTAAAATTTCACCAATATTCTCGTTTAATATCTAATAAAAAAATCAAAATGGTCCCGAAAGAAATTTTCTCCATGACCACATTTAATATGACCTAAATTGTCGACGACGACGTACTCTACACACAATTTGTTTAAGAAAAGGTCGAAAGTTCATCTCTTGAAGCGAAATGGATTGCTTTTTAACATGCCAACGTTTAAAAATACTCAAAT